ATTACATTAAATTAGATTGTTTAGTGCGATTGCCAAGTCAATTTATTTAAAACATAAAAGATATTTGATATTGATATGGTCACTATAAGGTATTAGGTTAGCTAATTACGTAATAACCTAAGATAAAGTATTACATGGATCTCACAACTTTTTACGGTAGAAGAACTGAGTTGCGAGACTTGATTTTTTTTACAAGTTATGTGTTTGATGGCATATTACATTTACGAATAAAGATACGAATGCTTATTATAAACGCACCTTTAAACATTTTAAACAACAATAGCTCTGACGCTGTTTGTACCAGAGTTTATATTTAGAATATAACGAATATCTATATATATTTAAAACAATTATTAAAATAGGAATAAACACCCTAGAATTAGGTATATAATAATGTCCCTTACATAGGCGGATGGTGGAGACTTTTAACAAATTTGTTGAATAAATATTGTTATGATTAATTTCAGGCTTATATTAATCAATTTATGGCTGGAAAAATCATGTCACTTTTTGAAGAAATAAATATACAGTGCTTGGTAGAGCCAAGCTGCAGCCGTATTATGGCTACAGCCATTAGCGGCAATTCCATACAAGCCTAAAAGACCGGCATGCCCTATTAAATACACACCGACACTGAAATACCGAGCGTAAACAGATTACGATATAATATTTTTATTTTAGCGCATGTATTTTTTTTTCTTCTCCACCACTCCAGCCACTCCATCTAAAATACTTTTAAAATGTCCATAGAAAAAATTTAAACTAACGAACGCGAAGTCGTTCCCTTAAGAAAGGCGTAAATAATATTTCGTCTTCAGTAATATTTTGTATGACCGATGCTAGTAATAACTTTACCTACCTTTTTAAATACCTTTTTAATTCATATATTATTATACTTTCATTTGTTTTAAATCTGTCTCCTACGCTATGTTTGTATTCCTATTTTCCTTTATTATCCATGCATAACGTATTATTAGGTGAAGTGATCGAACGATTTATGATGATTTATTTAATGAAATATAACACATATCTAAATAAATCAAAAATATGATTAAGATATCTTAGATGATGAACGAAACTCCGAATTCCTCGAACGAGAACAGATAGTTATTTGTGATCGTGTTAAGTTGCTAGTAGTAAGTGCTAGTTTAGTAAACTATTCAGTTTAGTTTAGGCTGTATACTAAACTTAAGTAGAATACAGCCCATTTTTAAGCCTAGTCCTTATCACATAATTTTTTAGGGTTCCGTACCTCAAAAGGAAAAAACGGAACCCTTATAGGATCACTTTCTTGTCCGTCTGTCTGTCTGTCTGTCTGTCATGACCCTTTTTCTCAGGAACGCGTGGAGGTATCAAGCTGAAATTCATAACAAATACTGAAGTCTACTGTCCCTTGGAGCTAAGAAAAAATCAAACTTCTAAGCCAACTCAATCAAAAGATACAGCCGTTTATGCCGCATATTTTCGACATTCGCAAGGGAATCAAAACATACAGGGTACTTCCCGTGAACTCAGAATCTTAAAATTTGGTACGAAGCAACGTTTTATAGTACAGATAAAGGAAAAATTGCGAAAAGCAAAAATTTTTAGTTACATCATATAATAAAAATATTTTTAATAATTTTAAACTTATATACCTACGGATTTGTTCGGAACCCTCGGTGCCGGTTTTTTTTTTTATACTACTATTCGGTAAAAGTTGTAATATATGAAACGCTTTTTAGCAAAGATAAAGCCTAGATGTTACCTTGTTGTGGTCCACTCATTAACAGTTTTTAAAAGCAACAGTAAGAAATATCAAAAACAACGAAAATAACCAAAATAAAAAAACAACAGTAAGAAATATCAAAAACAACGAAAATAACTAAAATAAAAAAAAAACAACAAATAACAGTAAAAACAACATAACTTTTCCCACTTTTATACACGTAAACAGCTACTTAGACAACCAACAGCGAGCTCACTAAACGCTAAATCAAAAAGCGGACCAAATGTAATGGGAAGGTTACCGTTTTTATGTAACGAATTTTATTTTGAAATAAACTCCGCGTAACGACAGCGCTTCTAGCCCTATGCTAGATAAAAATCGATATAAGATTTCATCTGTTTTCCGAGTTGTCGTTTCTTCGAGCTACATAGCTGTCGCTTACTCTCTATCAACTGCCAACGGATTTGACTCAGCTGGGTACCATACGACACAACTTTTCGTCACGTATAACTCGAAACTTGAAAACAAGAAAATGCAGCCAGTATACATTGTCAATGATAACATATGGATCTGAGATGTAGTCCTTCACTGCTGGCCGTTTGAGGAAGCTCAACATCGCTCAGAGAGCTAGCAGGGCTATACTTGGGAGTTTCTCGACGCGATAGATTTCTCGAGTGGGGTAGTAGTGGATATTCTTACACCGCCACGCCACTAAACTACCTATGAAATTTAAATAATGTGTTGATCTAAACTTCACCCATTCAACGTAGACAGTCGTTCATAATTAATACTACATAAAACTACACGAAATACGAGTTCGTTAGCCCTCAAATCATTCAATAAACATTACGAGCACTACAAGACCGTTACCCACTATTAGCACATACGTAACAAAACTATCCAGTTCGTCACCGGCATCTGTTAATATTTATCACAAAAATACGATATTCACGTCGTTTATCATTTCATATCTGAGAACGTTTGACATATGGTGTAATAGTATCCTACCTTTATCTAAATCATGCGTAATTCTATACCTTTGTTTTCATACAATAAAGTAACATTTTTGTTTAGAAATATTATAATTGCCAACTATTAGATTCGTGTATCGTGTTACGCATATTGTGCGAACTGTTGCCCAATACAAAATTATTCAAAGATTGCCAATGCGAAAGAAAAGGAGGAAAAAGAAGGCTCCTAAGGAGACTTAGAAAAAAAGAGGTTATTTGTTTACAATATTTTTCAAATAACTTGAAGGTATGATAACATTATTTGTCAGATTGGTGAATATTTTTGAAAATGTTCAGTCACTCCACAAGTTTTATTGTTAGTAGGTTTTAATTGCTGTCAGTTATTTAAATCTATCCAAGTTTTTTAAGGGTTTTTTTTATCTTTGTATTATTTAGTTTAAATTTATAAAAAAAGGTTTGTCGTATTTAAATCAGTAAGAATAAAATTTAAATAGTCTTTTTTCAACCACAGTCCTATTTAAAACACGGATTTAATGTGTTGTACGGAGCTTTTGTTGTTTATTAATTATTTGAAAGAAGATAAATATAAAAAAATCATTGTCAACGAAAATATCTCTCGCAAAAAGGTATTTATAAGATGCAAGAAAATCAATTTCACGCTTCTCTTCCAGTCGGATCTTTCTTTTACAGTCGGATCGCGAATAAATTTCATTTAGATTCATCTTCAAAGGGGAATGCCCACCGTTCCTAGACACTTCGGCCATGGGTGCCCACATATAAAAGCATATGGAAATGATAATAATATGCAATTAAAAGAATGAAATGGTTAAGGAATTGGTTTAAAAAAGTCCGGATTTTTAAGATATAAAGGTTTTTTATTTTCACAAAAACAGTTTTTAACAGCACATGACTTCGTATTTTCGTGACATTTAAACTACAATCGACACAGCGTAAATATCCTCTTGAATGAGTTACTGAGAGTTGGGAAGAACTCTGGACGGTGTGAAAGCTGGGGTCATCGTTAACAGTGGATATCGAGTCCAAGTTCGTGCAGAGGTTATTGTAAGAAGTGGGAGCGGGATCCATTTTCAGGCCGTGGTCAATAGGGTGAGAAGAATTATCGGAGCCCATTTAGAAAACTTATTCATTGCTTAGATAAAAAATCCGCGAGAAAACAAACAAAACTTTACTTGTGACTATTCAGTTTTGATAATTATGACATGGGCCTAGCTGTCAGATTCGATGTTGCCAATTAACAGACATAAAATCGATAAATAGATAGCAATTTTTTTATTCCATTTTTATTTTCATAAGAAAGAATACTCTGCTTCGCTTTAAGTCCTGCACGCCTTTTAAAATATATTTTGTTTTATTCCGTTTTAAATGTATTTTTAAGAAAAGATAAGAATAACAGTTAAATTGTGCAGTTGCGTTTTTAATATGTTCTAAAGAGTTCATGTTAAATCCACTAGCAATTCGCTTGTTTAATTATCATAACATCATAATAATTATCGAAAAATGGTAATATACCATTATTTTAAATTTATTAATAATGACTCCATAAGAATCGATTGAAAAAAACAGAATCGACTTTTTAACGAGAAATGGTGACTGGCAACACTTTTTATTTCATCCACAAACTAATGACTTGCGGATTTACCTAATTTCATTTTTATCTTTTCAGTATTTTTTTTTGTGCGAAATATTGCAATCTTTTTTGGATACATAAATACTTACGACTTTATTGCTTAGAAGTCCGTCTAGGTAGCTACCGCGCTCTTACCTATTTCTTTGTGTTCTTCTTGTGTATTGTGTTCCGGTCTGAAGGGTATGGAACTCAAGTGTAATTATAAGTGTCCTCAGAAGTGACAACGCACCTGTACTTTTCTTTGTTTGGAACTAGCTACAGGTGTCCATGCACTGCATTAGCCACTTCAGGTTGACTGAAAGTTCGTTTGTCACTGCAGTTTCTAAGATTTATATTTATTTGTCTAATTCAAATTACTGCGATAAATGTTTTTAAAAATCCCGTATTTATTCATTTTATTCAATCTAGTACTGCTATATTGTACATAGTAGTAGTACACTGTTTCATAAAATTAATACGATGTTAGGGTCTGGCATGTACAACAATTGTGGCTTAAATTGCAGTTTTGAAATTAAAGTAGATGCCTCAAAATATTCCTATATATGTATTATCCGTAAAAACGTTACTTAAACGGAAAATAAATATGTTGGTGTGGTCTTTGAAAGCATTATACATACAAACATAATGTAAACATTTAGCTTAAAACTAAACAACGTAAATATTTTTGTTACAGATAAGCGCAAACCAAACTCTGAATGGAAATACGGAAATTCACGTACCATTCAACTTGGTGGCAGGATGGTGCCTCGAGGCCGAAGCCTTGCCGCCTTCCCACAGGTACATTACACCATTAATCATAAACAGGCTTATTTTTCAAAGAGTATCCAAATTTTATATTTAAGTTCGAATGTATAAATAATGATATACTGTATTTGCAGTTTTTAAAAATATAAATAAATAAGGCTTCTACTTTAATTTGAAATTATCCCAAATTGAATGTGATTTTTGGGCAACAATTACGCCTCCACGCATTCCTTTGTGTGCCATTCAATTCCCATTGTTTTTGTCGACCCAGCGACCTGTTCCCTATTCTAGACAAGTCTTATCCTGTTTTTTTGGTATATCAAAAATCAAGATTGTACGACATCTACCAGCGCTGAGTTCAAGAAATTCTTATTCCTTGTTGCAATCGCATGCAATAACATCTCAAATAAGATAACTCCTAGGTCGTAGAATAGGTAATGGAAACTCACTTCAAGGGAAGTAATTTTCCATTGGGTGACTTCCATTCCACCCCTAAATAGCAGTGCACTTACAATACAATTTTTGAATGAGAGCGTATAATGGCCAGCTGTGACCTAATGATGCCTTCCATAATAGTCCTCTGGAATGACATCAACCACGTGACTTTGTATTGAATCGGCTGAAAGTATTCAAGGGATACTGTGGCAAATTTCTAATATGTGGACAGCGCTTGTTTGTTTTTTCTATTGTTATAAAGGTATAATTGGTGGCTGGGAATATGTAATCATAGCAATAAATGTTTATAAAATTATTTTCAAAGGTCATAAAAGTGAATTATAAAATTAAATAATTTAAAAGTATGTGGATGACAAGTGGCTTACATTTCTCTAGAAATAAACAATAGAATTCCATCAAGAGACATGAACTATCATGGTTTGACTCAGAGCGGGCAAGCTGCTGGCGTTGCGGCTGCTTTGCGAGTCGACGCAGGCGCAAGGCCCGGGTGCGCCGTCCTCCTGCAACAACCGCCTGCATCTCGCGCACCTGCATCTCTACCAACGCGCTTTGCACCACGGCAAGTTTTCTTCTCTCTATTGGAAGAATCTCTATTAGAAATATAGAAGAAAATTCTAGAATATTATAGAGGTCTTCCCTTGTTCAATTCCATGACATGAACATTATCGAATACTATAGTAAGCTGATACAGAAGATAACAGTGTCGCATATAATCCCAATTCTATGCGAAAACTATTCTGGTGGCTGTGTGAGGGCCCCTTTTCAGCCTGAGGGTGTAGTAATAAGCGACTATGGCATATGTCAAAAAGGTCTTATGGCTCGCGATAGATATATAACCTGGCTGTATAACCATCACGTTTACGCCAAGCGTTTTCAATATCCAAACTGGCAACGGAAAACAGAGTCAAAGTTTTGATAAGTCTGGTATTGCAATAGTCAATCTATCTGCCAAGTGTGACGATTAAGAAACGCAAATCCTCCCTCCACTGGGCGATGCCCATGTCCAGCTGTAGAGTTTTACAGGCTAATGAAGAAGAATGCATTAAAGTAAAATCAGTTACCAATCCTTACTTAAGAGTTTAGCATTTGATGATGACTGATTGATTACCATCTATGAAAGGTCCGAATGCTGTATCAGAGACAAAAAACATCATTGCAGCACATTGGAACCCGGTTACTAAAACCAGTTCAAATAAATGGTTTTGACTAGTGTACGAATACAAAAAACACATTCAGTAAAATCCAGCTTCGGGTAAATTTCTTACCCGAAGCTCGAAGTCTTGCCCCACACACTAATTTGAAGCGTCTGACTAAATACCTAGTCTTAAGTGATGAAGTATTCATGAAACCCTCCGTGTCACAACACCGACAAAAATAATAATAAATTAATTTGGCAGTACCTTTACCTTTAATTACCTTTTTTACGTGGTAAAGCCATGCTGCAGCTATATTACTGGTCTAGTTGTAGCACGAATGGGTCGACTCTCACAGAATACCAGCGTAAAATAGCAGCTTAACACTGCTGTGTTTCGTATGGTGAGTGTAGAGAACTGGATACCCATTTACTGGAACAGAGGCATTCCATCTTAGTCCTCACGGGTGACAACGCATCTGCAATGATTCACAAACGAGGATAGATGTAGATGTCTATGGACCACAGCAACCACTTACCATCAGGTGGACTGTGCTCGTTTGTCACCCAATCCTATAAAAAAAAACCTTGATTGATCTTTTATAATTAATATAATATATTCATACAGGTTTGACAGGCGAAGACCGTTCGGTAGTGGACGTACTGGTGGAGTACGCAGCGCCACGCTATCTGTCCCTGGCTCTCGATGGTTACTCTCTACTTTTGTTGGACTTCGTCCACGCCTCAACCGTCGTACTCAACTCTTCTGACATGGGAACATCAGTTAGTATAACGATAAATTAAAGTCATAATGACATACATGTTAGGGCTGATTTTTCAAACAACAGAAAAACGTTATTTTTGACATAAAATATAACATATATACACATTAAAAAATAAAAAATTACAGCTGATGGATAAAATAGTTCAATTGTATCTCATTTACGAGGGGAGGTCGAAAACTTCACGGAATGGCGGGGTTGACGAGGGTGAGTTTACTCATCCAGGTAGGCGCTAGTTCAGTGACTCATTGTTAGTATATATACCAAGTATCAGTCTAATCGGGTCATTAGCTTTTGAGTTATCAACGAGTAAACAAGTCAATCGGAAAGAAACTGGCTATTATGGGGAAAAATGAATACGCGCCGTCATTAAGTTTCTCACCAAACAAGGAAAGACACCGCATACCATTTTTCAAGAGATGTCAGCTGTTTATGGGGACTCCGCTCCTGGGAAAACCATGATTTATAAATGACACGCCCTTTTCAAACAAGAAACTCCCGGCTACCACGCTAGAAATAATCGAAAAAGTTGAAAAAATTGTATTGGAAGATGCCCGGCTAAAGAAAAAACAGCTTGCAGCATTAGTTAGTGTATCAGAAACAACCATTTTAAATATCTTACAACAACAGCTTGGCATGACTAAAGTCTGTGCAAGATGGATTCCGAGAATGCTTTCTGCGCATCAAAACACAAGTGTTGTAACTGGCGATGAAACTTGGGTTCACCATTATGAACCTGAGTCAAAGCTTGAGTCGATGCAGTGGCATAAAAAAGGCACACCCCCTTCTAAGAAGTATAATGTATCTCAATCGGCCGGAAAGATCATAGCGACGATATTTTGGAATACAAAAGTTATCCTTTTGATTGATTATAAGGCACGTGGTGTTTCCATAACGGGAGAATACTGGGCTTCTTCACTAGATCAATTAAAAGAAGCTATTAAAGAAAAAAGGCGAGGAAAGCTTACATAAGGCGTGCTTCTTTTGCACGACAATGCGCCCGTGCACACCTGCCATGTTACGACGGCTGCCATTCACCGGTGCGGTTTTGAACAACTGCGCCACCCACCCTACAGCCCAGACCTGGCCCCAAGCGACTATTATTTGTTTCGAAAAATGAAGAAAAAACTGCGTGGGAAAAAATTTGTCGACGATGGTTAAGTGAAGTCGGCAATTTCGGCCTATTTTGACACCCAAGACAAAACTCTTTTTAGAATGTATTGATAAACTATTTGACAGATCTAATAAATATATTAGAGTTAAGGGAGAATACATTGAAAAGGAGATATAGTTTAATGTTTCATTTCATTATCCTTCCCTGTCATTCCGCGAACTTTTTGACCTCCCCTCGTATATTCAGTGAGTTTTATCTGATGGCTGAAAAATCAGATCTTTGTCTATGTAGAATATAGTCGTTACAAAATGAATACACAAAAGAAATATTAATAGAAAGATTTAACAAGTTTTCTGGGATTGTATTTATTGTACAATGGCTGATTTACACAGGTACAGTAACTGGCTCCAAATTCGAGGCAAGTCAGTGCTGACCCGCTAGCCTAATATAAAGCCTAATGTAGGCATAATGTAAATTGATTTGAAGTCAGTACAGCACTGTCTGCGCGACTACTGACAGCGTGTAAACGGTGCGAGTGAGTCGTCGGCGCCAGCACTGGCGCCTGTTACTGTTCCCGTGCAAATCAGCCTCAATGAGAAAATAATTTTTGGTCAATTTTTATCATTTATAATCAAATAATCTCATTACTAATTTCTCGATTCTCGAATCGAATTCGAAATAAACTTGTTTATAGCTGTGTATTTGAAAAAGAACTACTATGTGCGCTGGATAAAAATGGGACATAAACTGACAATCGTGTTATGCGCCAAATAGTAAATAAAATAAAATTTAATAATTTTATTTAAATTGTCATTAATGTAAAGTTTTGACCGTGTTCTATTGCATTTTCCCTGAAATAAAATAAAATAATTATGTTAAAATGTAGGAGTGTCATTACAGAGCTATATTTAATTGTAAATGTCAATTAAATATAGCGAGAGAGAGAGAGAGAAGCTGACAGTAAATCTAATTCAATTTTAGTCCGGCGTGCATAGTATTTTTCAATATTTGTGCTTTGTTCTTAACAAAAAGAACTATTACAGTGTCCACGTACGGCGGCTGTGACTTTCCTCGGTTCCCTTCTAGCATTGCCTGACGAGTTGATGAACGCGCCGATGCTACAGCCCTACCCTCACCAATACAACACTGTATCGTGTCCCGATCTCAAGGTAATAAAAAATTCAAAGTTCATCATGCGTGTGCGTATTTTCTTTTTCATTAACTCTTTAACTATTCCATTGTTATGTAAGACGTGGTAGAGCCACGCTGCAGCTATGTTATGTTTGTATGCACGAATGGGTCAGCGCAACCGGGAAAGTACCACGCTCTAACAAAATACCAGTTTAAAATAGCCCCTTGGGTGGTAACGCATAAACATATTTTATATTATAGGTTAAATAGTGCCCACAAAAACCCAACATTAATTCGTAGTGTGTTTAGATGTCGTACATCAGTTGAGTGCGTCTGACGCTATTAAACGAGGTCACAAAGTTTCAAACGGTTTTTAAACGTTCGTTAGTAACGTTAGAATATTACAGTAATCTGTAGATTTATTCACACGCATTGGCACTTTTATCGCTCGACGATAGACGTTGAAAGGAATATTAATATGTCTTGAGGACAGTTGCGAAGCTAGGGCTCCAAACTAGGGCAAGCCCAAGATATGGTTTTGTAGTTTTTAGCAGTTTTATAAAAATACACCAATCTGTCTCCACTCTTCAGTTTCATATTCAGTGTTGTCGAGGACGTATTTAACAAAGCACACAGAAGGCATACTACTGCTAGATAGATTGTATGACTTTATGCATACCTTCGGTGGCTTTGAAATAAGCCTTTTGGGTTCTCTTGAGCGAAAGAAAAAGATATTTACATATAATACAATACATGAACAAAATAAAAGCATGAACAAAGTACAAACAAACTATGTATAAAATTAAAAAAAAAAACAAATTATTTATATTCTAAATCGAACCGTCTCTCTTTCTTAAAGAAAGATTTGATTACGTCCGCGTTAAATGTTGTTGAACGTTTTAATTGTACCAATAACTGTTTATGTGGATATGAGCTGTTTTTTCTCAACAAAGTTTAAAGATTTTACCTTTTCCTTGCCGGTTAGCATTTTAACACACTTCAGTTCATCACAAGGAACACTATTAATCCTCCATTTTCACTAAAAATCTTTAAAAAAGCATTAAAGTAAACACACAGAGTAAACATTAAAATGTGAAGTGAAGTTGCAAACGTATCGCCCGTATAGATAAATAAATATGTAGCAAGCTAATCGCCCGAGCGCCCCCGCGCTCGACTAACTTCACACCAAAAGCCGGGCTTTTGGCTCCATACTAATTGCTATATAAACAATCGTAGTTATATTTCATTATAGAACATTTTGCCACAGGTAGAAAGGGAACGATCGTCTTGTCGAAAGCCCGGTAAAAAGCCCACGCGTGCGAGAGAGACGACTAGTCGCCCAACTCAACTCCTTTTTTATGATACGCAGTTTTGCCGCGACGATTAATGAACTATGTAGAACAGAGGAGTGCGCGGGAAATTTGAAATAGTTTGAAACAGTTTCCTAGTTATTTTTTTAGTTGATATTATTGATTGAGCAGTTTCATAGGGCAAGCCTGGCTTCTCGGTGTCTATGGAGGCTTCGCTAGCACTTGAGGAGTTATTAACATCCACTAAGTATGATATCGATTTAATAATCCTTGAATTAAACTTAACTTACATAAAAACTATTATTTTCTATTCAATGTAGGTTTTAACGTTTTTTAATTTTCGCACAAATGATACTGTGGCGGCGCTATCGTCGCGTCACAAGGAAAATACAGTCTAAATCGCGCTTTCATAGTTCCGAAATACTGCAGTATATATAGAATAGTTCCGAAGTATCACATGGAACGTTGGCCGCTCTCCAGGCTGACCTTGCCCGGTGGGAAATCTTCCCTTTTCCTTCCACGGCGTCACATATGAGCGGGTTTACAGGAGCACGTGCTGAATATCGTGGTGCGCGTGTGCCGGCGGGAAGGCGCCGCGGCAGCACGGTGTGCCGGCGCCTGCGCGCTGGCCGCGCACGTGGCGCACCTGCTCGACTCGCGACAACCCTGCGCACGCCTGCCCGCCTACGTCACCTGCCTGCTGCAGATGCTCATGGTCAGTAGCACGGCGACCGCGATCTGTGAGTGTAGGCTGCACGTGCTGCGGGCCGCGCACGTGGCGCACCTGCTCGACTCGCGCCAGCCCTGCGCACGCCTGCCCGCCTACGTCACCTGCCTGCTGCAGATGCTCATGGTCAGTAGCACGGCGACCGCGATCTGTGAGTGTAGGCTGCACGTGCTGCGGGCCGCGCACGTGGCGCACCTGCTCGACTCGCGCCAGCCCTGCGCACGCCTGCCCGCCTACGTCACCTGCCTGCTGCAGATGCTCATGGTCAGTAGCACGGCGACCGCGATCTGTGAGTGTAGGCTGCACGTGCTGCGGGCCGCGCACGTGGCGCACCTGCTCGACTCGCGCCAGCCCTGCGCACGCCTGCCCGCCTACGTCACCTGCCTGCTGCAGATGCTCATGGTCAGTAGCACGGCGACCGCGATCTGTGAGTGTAGGCTGCACGTGCTGCGGGCCGCGCACGTGGCGCACCTGCTCGACTCGCGCCAGCCCTGCGCACGCCTGCCCGCCTACGTCACCTGCCTGCTGCAGATGCTCATGGTCAGTAGCACGGCGACCGCGATCTGTGAGTGTAGGCTGCACGTGCTGCGGGCCGCGCACGTGGCGCACCTGCTCGACTCGCGCCAGCCCTGCGCACGCCTGCCCGCCTACGTCACCTGCCTGCTGCAGATGCTCATGGTCAGTAGCACGGCGACCGCGATCTGTGAGTGTAGGCTGCACGTGCTGCGGGCCGCGCACGTGGCGCACCTGCTCGACTCGCGCCAGCCCTGCGCACGCCTGCCCGCCTACGTCACCTGCCTGCTGCAGATGCTCATGGTCAGTAGCACGGCGACCGCGATCTGTGAGTGTAGGCTGCACGTGCTGCGGGCCGCGCACGTGGCGCACCTGCTCGACTCGCGCCAGCCCTGCGCACGCCTGCCCGCCTACGTCACCTGCCTGCTGCAGATGCTCATGGTCAGTAGCACGGCGACCGCGATCTGTGAGTGTAGGCTGCACGTGCTGCGGGCCGCGCACGTGGCGCACCTGCTCGACTCGCGCCAGCCCTGCGCACGCCTGCCCGCCTACGTCACCTGCCTGCTGCAGATGCTCATGGTCAGTAGCACGGCGACCGCGATCTGTGAGTGTAGGCTGCACGTGCTGCGGGCCGCGCACGTGGCGCACCTGCTCGACTCGCGCCAGCCCTGCGCACGCCTGCCCGCCTACGTCACCTGCCTGCTGCAGATGCTCATGGTCAGTAGCACGGCGACCGCGATCTGTGAGTGTAGGCTGCACGTGCTGCGGGCCGCGCACGTGGCGCACCTGCTCGACTCGCGCCAGCCCTGCGCACGCCTGCCCGCCTACGTCACCTGCCTGCTGCAGATGCTCATGGTCAGTAGCACGGCGACCGCGATCTGTGAGTGTAGGCTGCACGTGCTGCGGGCCGCGCACGTGGCGCACCTGCTCGACTCGCGCCAGCCCTGCGCACGCCTGCCCGCCTACGTCACCTGCCTGCTGCAGATGCTCATGGTCAGTAGCACGGCGACCGCGATCTGTGAGTGTAGGCTGCACGTGCTGCGGGCCGCGCACGTGGCGCACCTGCTCGACTCGCGCCAGCCCTGCGCACGCCTGCCCGCCTACGTCACCTGCCTGCTGCAGATGCTCATGGTCAGTAGCACGGCGACCGCGATCTGTGAGTGTAGGCTGCACGTGCTGCGGGCCGCGCACGTGGCGCACCTGCTCGACTCGCGCCAGCCCTGCGCACGCCTGCCCGCCTACGTCACCTGCCTGCTGCAGATGCTCATGGTCAGTAGCACGGCGACCGCGATCTGTGAGTGTAGGCTGCACGTGCTGCGGGCCGCGCACGTGGCGCACCTGCTCGACTCGCGCCAGCACAGCGCACGCCTGCCCGCCTACGTCACCTGCCTGCTGCAGATGCTCATGGTCAGTAGCACGGCGACCGCGATCTGTGAGTGTAGGCTGCACGTGCTGCGGGCCGCGCACGTGGCGCACCTGCTCGACTCGCGCCAGCCCTGCGCACGCCTGCCCGCCTACGTCACCTGCCTGCTGCAGATGCTCATGGTCAGTAGCACGGCGACCGCGATCTGTGAGTGTAGGCTGCACGTGCTGCGGGCCGCGCACGTGGCGCACCTGCTCGACTCGCGCCAGCCCTGCGCACGCCTGCCCGCCTACGTCACCTGCCTGCTGCAGATGCTCATGGTCAGTAGCACGGCGACCGCGATCTGTGAGTGTAGGCTGCACGTGCTGCGGGCCGCGCACGTGGCGCACCTGCTCGACTCGCGCCAGCCCTGCGCACGCCTGCCCGCCTACGTCACCTGCCTGCTGCAGATGCTCATGGTCAGTAGCACGGCGACCGCGATCTGTGAGTGTAGGCTGCACGTGCTGCGGGCCGCGCACGTGGCGCACCTGCTCGACTCGCGCCAGCCCTGCGCACGCCTGCCCGCCTACGTCACCTGCCTGCTGCAGATGCTCATGGTCAGTAGCACGGCGACCGCGATCTGTGAGTGTAGGCTGCACGTGCTGCGGGCCGCGCACGTGGCGCACCTGCTCGACTCGCGCCAGCCCTGCGCACGCCTGCCCGCCTACGTCACCTGCCTGCTGCAGATGCTCATGGTCAGTAGCACGGCGACCGCGATCTGTGAGTGTAGGCTGCACGTGCTGCGGGCCGCGCACGTGGCGCACCTGCTCGACTCGCGCCAGCCCTGCGCACGCCTGCCCGCCTACGTCACCTGCCTGCTGCAGATGCTCATGGTCAGTAGCACGGCGACCGCGATCTGTGAGTGTAGGCTGCACGTGCTGCGGGCCGCGCACGTGGCGCACCTGCTCGACTCGCGCCAGCCCTGCGCACGCCTGCCCGCCTACGTCACCTGCCTGCTGCAGATGCTCATGGTCAGTAGCACGGCGACCGCGATCTGTGAGTGTAGGCTGCACGTGCTGCGGGCCGCGCACGTGGCGCACCTGCTCGACTCGCGCCAGCCCTGCGCACGCCTGCCCGCCTACGTCACCTGCCTGCTGCAGATGCTCATGGTCAGTAGCACGGCGACCGCGATCTGTGAGTGTAGGCTGCACGTGCTGCGGGCCGCGCACGTGGCGCACCTGCTCGACTCGCGCCAGCCCTGCGCACGCCTGCCCGCCTACGTCACCTGCCTGCTGCAGATGCTCATGGTCAGTAGCACGGCGACCGCGATCTGTGAGTGTAGGCTGCACGTGCTGCGGGCCGCGCACGTGGCGCACCTGCTCGACTCGCGCCAGCCCTGCGCACGCCTGCCCGCCTACGTCACCTGCCTGCTGCAGATGCTCATGGTCAGTAGCACGGCGACCGCGATCTGTGAGTGTAGGCTGCACGTGCTGCGGGCCGCGCACGTGGCGCACCTGCTCGACTCGCGCCAGCCCTGCGCACGCCTGCCCGCCTACGTCACCTGCCTGCTGCAGATGCTCATGGTCAGTAGCACGGCGACCGCGATCTGTGAGTGTAGGCTGCACGTGCTGCGGGCCGCGCACGTGGCGCACCTGCTCGACTCGCGCCAGCCCTGCGCACGCCTGCCCGCCTACGTCACCTGCCTGCTGCAGATGCTCATGGTCAGTAGCACGGCGACCGCGATCTGTGAGTGTAGGCTGCACGTGCTGCGGGCCGCGCACGTGGCGCACCTGCTCGACTCGCGCCAGCCCTGCGCACGCCTGCCCGCCTACGTCACCTGCCTGCTGCAGATGCTCATGGTCAGTAGCACGGCGACCGCGATCTGTGAGTGTAGGCTGCACGTGCTGCGGGCCGCGCACGTGGCGCACCTGCTCGACTCGCGCCAGCCCTGCGCACGCCTGCCCGCCTACGTCACCTGCCTGCTGCAGATGCTCATGGTCAGTAGCACGGCGACCGCGATCTGTGAGTGTAGGCTGCACGTGCTGCGGGCCGCGCACGTGGCGCACCTGCTCGACTCGCGCCAGCCCTGCGCACGCCTGCCCGCCTACGTCACCTGCCTGCTGCAGATGCTCATGGTCAGTAGCACGGCGACCGCGATCTGTGAGTGTAGGCTGCACGTGCTGCGGGCCGCGCACGTGGCGCACCTGCTCGACTCGCGCCAGCCCTGCGCACGCCTGCCCGCCTACGTCACCTGCCTGCTGCAGATGCTCATGGTCAGTAGCACGGCGACCGCGATCTGTGAGTGTAGGCTGCACGTGCTGCGGGCCGCGCACGTGGCGCACCTGCTCGACTCGCGCCAGCCCTGCGCACGCCTGCCCGCCTACGTCACCTGCCTGCTGCAGATGCTCATGGTCAGTAGCACGGCGACCGCGATCTGTGAGTGTAGGCTGCACGTGCTGCGGGCCGCGCACGTGGCGCACCTGCTCGACTCGCGCCAGCCCTGCGCACGCCTGCCCGCCTACGTCACCTGCCTGCTGCAGATGCTCATGGTCAGTAGCACGGCGACCGCGATCTGTGAGTGTAGGCTGCACGTGCTGCGGGCCGCGCACGTGGCGCACCTGCTCGACTCGCGCCAGCCCTGCGCACGCCTGCCCGCCTACGTCACCTGCCTGCTGCAGATGCTCATGGTCAGTAGCACGGCGACCGCGATCTGTGAGTGTAGGCTGCACGTGCTGCGGGCCGCGCACGTGGCGCACCTGCTCGACTCGCGCCAGCCCTGCGCACGCCTGCCCGCCTACGTCACCTGCCTGCTGCAGATGCTCATGGTCAGTAGCACGGCGACCGCGATCTGTGAGTGTAGGCTGCACGTGCTGCGGGCCGCGCACGTGGCGCACCTGCTCGACTCGCGCCAGCCCTGCGCACGCCTGCCCGCCTACGTCACCTGCCTGCTGCAGATGCTCATGGTCAGTAGCACGGCGACCGCGATCTGTGAGTGTAGGCTGCACGTGCTGCGGGCCGCGCACGTGGCGCACCTGCTCGACTCGCGCCAGCCCTGCGCACGCCTGCCCGCCTACGTCACCTGCCTGCTGCAGATGCTCATGGTCAGTAGCACGGCGACCGCGATCTGTGAGTGTAGGCTGCACGTGCTGCGGGCCGCGCACGTGGCGCACCTGCTCGACTCGCGCCAGCCCTGCGCACGCCTGCCCGCCTACGTCACCTGCCTGCTGCAGATGCTCATGGTCAGTAGCACGGCGACCGCGATCTGTGAGTGTAGGCTGCACGTGCTGCGGGCCGCGCACGTGGCGCACCTGCTCGACTCGCGCCAGCCCTGCGCACGCCTGCCCGCCTACGTCACCTGCCTGCTGCAGATGCTCATGGTCAGTAGCACGGCGACCGCGATCTGTGAGTGTAGGCTGCACGTGCTGCGGGCCGCGCACGTGGCGCACCTGCTCGACTCGCGCCAGCCCTGCGCACGCCTGCCCGCCTACGTCACCTGCCTGCTGCAGATGCTCATGGTCAGTAGCACGGCGACCGCGATCTGTGAGTGTAGGCTGCACGTGCTGCGGGCCGCGCACGTGGCGCACCTGCTCGACTCGCGCCAGCCCTGCGCACGCCTGCCCGCCTACGTCACCTGCCTGCTGCAGATGCTCATGGTCAGTAGCACGGCGACCGCGATCTGTGAGTGTAGGCTGCACGTGCTGCGGGCCGCGCACGTGGCGCACCTGCTCGACTCGCGCCAGCCCTGCGCACGCCTGCCCGCCTACGTCACCTGCCTGCTGCAGATGCTCATGGTCAGTAGCACGGCGACCGCGATCTGTGAGTGTAGGCTGCACGTGCTGCGGGCCGCGCACGTGGCGCACCTGCTCGACTCGCGCCAGCCCTGCGCACGCCTGCCCGCCTACGTCACCTGCCTGCTGCAGATGCTCATGGTCAGTAGCACGGCGACCGCGATCTGTGAGTGTAGGCTGCACGTGCTGCGGGCCGCGCACGTGGCGCACCTGCTCGACTCGCGCCAGCCCTGCGCACGCCTGCCCGCCTACGTCACCTGCCTGCTGCAGATGCTCATGGTCAGTAGCACGGCGACCGCGATCTGTGAGTGTAGGCTGCACGTGCTGCGGGCCGCGCACGTGGCGCACCTGCTCGACTCGCGCCAGCCCTGCGCACGCCTGCCCGCCTACGTCACCTGCCTGCTGCAGATGCTCATGGTCAGTAGCACGGCGACCGCGATCTGTGAGTGTAGGCTGCACGTGCTGCGGGCCGCGCACGTGGCGCACCTGCTCGACTCGCGCCAGCCCTGCGCACGCCTGCCCGCCTACGTCACCTGCCTGCTGCAGATGCTCATGGTCAGTAGCACGGCGACCGCGATCTGTGAGTGTAGGCTGCACGTGCTGCGGGCCGCGCACGTGGCGCACCTGCTCGACTCGCGCCAGCCCTGCGCACGCCTGCCCGCCTACGTCACCTGCCTGCTGCAGATGCTCATGGTCAGTAGCACGGCGACCGCGATCTGTGAGTGTAGGCTGCACGTGCTGCGGGCCGCGCACGTGGCGCACCTGCTCGACTCGCGCCAGCCCTGCGCACGCCTGCCCGCCTACGTCACCTGCCTGCTGCAGATGCTCATGGTCAGTAGCACGGCGACCGCGATCTGTGAGTGTAGGCTGCACGTGCTGCGGGCCGCGCACGTGGCGCACCTGCTCGACTCGCGCCAGCCCTGCGCACGCCTGCCCGCCTACGTCACCTGCCTGCTGCAGATGCTCATGGTCAGTAGCACGGCGACCGCGATCTGTGAGTGTAGGCTGCACGTGCTGCGGGCCGCGCACGTGGCGCACCTGCTCGACTCGCGCCAGCCCTGCGCACGCCTGCCCGCCTACGTCACCTGCCTGCTGCAGATGCTCATGGTCAGTAGCACGGCGACCGCGATCTGTGAGTGTAGGCTGCACGTGCTGCGGGCCGCGCACGTGGCGCACCTGCTCGACTCGCGCCAGCCCTGCGCACGCCTGCCCGCCTACGTCACCTGCCTGCTGCAGATGCTCATGGTCAGTAGCACGGCGACCGCGATCTGTGAGTGTAGGCTGCACGTGCTGCGGGCCGCGCACGTGGCGCACCTGCTCGACTCGCGCCAGCCCTGCGCACGCCTGCCCGCCTACGTCACCTGCCTGCTGCAGATGCTCATGGTCAGTAGCACGGCGACCGCGATCTGTGAGTGTAGGCTGCACGTGCTGCGGGCCGCGCACGTGGCGCACCTGCTCGACTCGCGCCAGCCCTGCGCACGCCTGCCCGCCTACGTCACCTGCCTGCTGCAGATGCTCATGGTCAGTAGCACGGCGACCGCGATCTGTGAGTGTAGGCTGCACGTGCTGCGGGCCGCGCACGTGGCGCACCTGCTCGACTCGCGCCAGCCCTGCGCACGCCTGCCCGCCTACGTCACCTGCCTGCTGCAGATGCTCATGGTCAGTAGCACGGCGACCGCGATCTGTGAGTGTAGGCTGCACGTGCTGCGGGCCGCGCACGTGGCGCACCTGCTCGACTCGCGCCAGCCCTGCGCACGCCTGCCCGCCTACGTCACCTGCCTGCTGCAGATGCTCATGGTCAGTAGCACGGCGACCGCGATCTGTGAGTGTAGGCTGCACGTGCTGCGGGCCGCGCACGTGGCGCACCTGCTCGACTCGCGCCAGCCCTGCGCACGCCTGCCCGCCTACGTCACCTGCCTGCTGCAGATGCTCATGGTCAGTAGCACGGCGACCGCGATCTGTGAGTGTAGGCTGCACGTGCTGCGGGCCGCGCACGTGGCGCACCTGCTCGACTCGCGCCAGCCCTGCGCACGCCTGCCCGCCTACGTCACCTGCCTGCTGCAGATGCTCATGGTCAGTAGCACGGCGACCGCGATCTGTGAGTGTAGGCTGCACGTGCTGCGGGCCGCGCACGTGGCGCACCTGCTCGACTCGCGCCAGCCCTGCGCACGCCTGCCAGCCTACGTCACCTGCCTGCTGCAGATGCTCATGGTCAGTAGCACGGCGACCGCGATCTGTGAGTGTAGGCTGCACGTGCTGCGGGCCGCGCACGTGGCGCACCTGCTCGACTCGCGCCAGCCCTGCGCACGCCTGCCCGCCTACGTCACCTGCCTGCTGCAGATGCTCATGGTCAGTAGCACGGCGACCGCGATCTGTGAGTGTAGGCTGCACGTGCTGCGGGCCGCGCACGTGGCGCACCTGCTCGACTCGCGCCAGCCCTGCGCACGCCTGCCCGCCTACGTCACCTGCCTGCTTCAGATGCTCATGGTCAGTAGCACGGCGACCGCGATCTGTGAGTGTAGGCTGCACGTGCTGTGGGCCGCGCACGTGGCGCACCTGCTCGACTCGCGCCAGCCCTGCGCACGCCTGCCCGCCTACGTCACCTGCCTGCTGCAGATGCTCATGGTCAGTAGCACGGCGACCGCGATCTGTGAGTGTAGGCTGCACGTGCTGCGGGCCGCGCACGTGGCGCACCTGCTCGACTCGCGCCAGCCCTGCGCACGCCTGCCCGCCTACGTCACCTGCCTGCTGCAGATGCTCATGGTCAGTAGCACGGCGACCGCGATCTGTGAGTGTAGGCTGCACGTGCTGCGGGCCGCGCACGTGGCGCACCTGCTCGACTCGCGCCAGCCCTGCGCACGCCTGCCCGCCTACGTCACCTGCCTGCTGCAGATGCTCATGGTCAGTAGCACGGCGACCGCGATCTGTGAGTGTAGGCTGCACGTGCTGCGGGCCGCGCACGTGGCGCACCTGCTCGACTCGCGCCAGCCCTGCGCACGCCTGCCCGCCTACGTCACCTGCCTGCTGCAGATGCTCATGGTCAGTAGCACGGCGACCGCGATCTGTGAGTGTAGGCTGCACGTGCTGCGGGCCGCGCACGTGGCGCACCTGCTCGACTCGCGCCAGCCCTGCGCACGCCTGCCCGCCTACGTCACCTGCCTGCTGCAGATGCTCATGGTCAGTAGCACGGCGACCGCGATCTGTGAGTGTAGGCTGCACGTGCTGCGGGCCGCGCACGTGGCGCACCTGCTCGACTCGCGCCAGCCCTGCGCACGCCTGCCCGCCTACGTCACCTGCCTGCTGCAGATGCTCATGGTCAGTAGCACGGCGACCGCGATCTGTGAGTGTAGGCTGCACGTGCTGCGGGCCGCGCACGTGGCGCACCTGCTCGACTCGCGCCAGCCCTGCGCACGCCTGCCCGCCTACGTCACCTGCCTGCTGCAGATGCTCATGGTCAGTAGCACGGCGACCGCGATCTGTGAGTGTAGGCTGCACGTGCTGCGGGCCGCGCACGTGGCGCACCTGCTCGACTCGCGCCAGCCCTGCGCACGTTTGCTCGCCTACATCACCTGCCTACTGCAAATGCTCATGGTTAGTTGCACAGCGACCTGTGAAAGTAGACTTCACTTGACGTAGACGTCATTCTGAAACATAGGAATGCGGAATTGCACCAGAAACATAGCCAATACCAGTTACAATCACAGGCTAAATTTTAGCATAAAGTTAAATTTTGTATTTTAAGTGCCTTTTTACTCATTTGCAGCATAAACGAGACCAAGGGAAGTAAATGTATTGACCGTTATGTACGTATGTATGTCTGTTTCTATTTCTATTTCTTTGAGGACTAAGATGGAATGCCTCTTTTCCAGCAAAAAGGGTCTCCGATTCTCTACACTCACCATACGAAACACAGTGTACAGTGTACACTGTACTGTACTGTGCAATGTAGTATCTTTATCTTATGTATAAACATTTCATCATCATCATAGCCATTCACAAGTCGTCCCTTCTGAACATAGGCCTCCCCCTAGGTAGCCACAAAGCACGAGCCTGAGCCACCTGCATATCTTACCAGGTTGTCACTCAATTATTAATTCTCTACATTTGCAGCTTTCTTTTTTTTATTTAAAGTAGTGACATCAGGTGGTCTGTAACCTCGTTTGTGACTAACATTATAAAAATTTACGAACGCGATCAATGTTTTATTCTATTTCAGATGAAAAATAAAACTATAGCCAAAGTTGTGAGCGACGCTATACTGGTGTTAGCCGACTACACGGATCGCATCGTGGAACTATATCCTGGACTAGCCGGTAATGTTACATTGTAATAGAAAATATCGTTAATATCAATACGAACAAATTTACAATGTTGTTGTTTTTTTGTAGAGAAAATAATAAAATGGATATGCGCTTGCCTCGCCCAAATATCGAACAGTAGCTCCCGAGATTCTGTGAAACCTCTTGCGGGTTCGCTATTACTGTGCTTGGCCGAATTCGCCGTCCGTTGTGGGCCTGCCTACCTTATGAAAGAAAATGATGGAGAACAGACATTATTGTTGACGATTTTTAAGGTAAGTCACATTTTTATTTTGTATTTTCTTTCTTGCTGTCTTCTAAAAACTGCAACAACACTTTCAAAGAGACATCTTAACCTCAATAAATATATAAATTTGACAGTGACAAATTATAGTAAAAAATATTGAAATATTATATGTAATTTAATTTGCTATAAGCTAATATCATAACAAATGGTTGTCATTTACATAAATTTTCGTATTAAACAATGGACTTTAGTAGCATATTAAATGGAGACGGTCTATTTTACACAACATGTAAAATATATATGTAGGGTTGTATTTAGTCCTTATAAGCACATGCATGCTTATTACTGCATAATACTGTATTACACTCCTCCTATTATTACAACCTCGATATTACCACACTGAAGGGAATTGAAAAGTATTCGTTATACCAAGTAAGTCGTTATAATGAAGTTTGTTATATGGAGGTTAGGTGGAACTACGATTCGTTTTAACAAGGTAAGAAACTTGTTTATTAACTTCAACATTACGTAAATAGTCATCTGCCTATCGTGTACGTGTCTGAACCTATCAATACATGATTTATTGTGAAATTAAGTGGGAATATTTAATAGGATTCATTGTCACGATTTAAAGTTGAAAAAATTGGTTAAATAAAGGTAAATAATACGTTCTATCTATATTCTGCAATTATTAAAAATTTGTTATAAAAAGGTTTTTGATAAATGTATTCGTAATGTAGAGTTATATTTTGCATTAGCACTTACAGGCAGTTCTAGGGGGATTTCGAAAAATTCGTTAAATCGACGAATTCGTTATAATGAGGCTTATTATATCAAGGTTACACTGTATTATCACTTTTTAGATATGTTACCATTACAGCCTATTGAAGTCCGCTGCTGAACATAGACCTCCAACATAGATTGCCTTATGGGGGGGGGGGGGGGGGGTATTTACCTTAGTTGCCACGGTTGGCAAGCTCCCTCTTACGATACCCACAGGATGATATGGGGTAATGGATATTTTTACACCGCCACTACACGGTGGATACGTGATTATAACATATTATAACATATTAGGTCAGAGTTACCAGGCAACCAAAACTTATCTAGTAGTTATGCGTGATATGCAGTCACTACAACACTACAACTGCATACCCTATTCCCATATAGGACAATCTGCATTAATTTAATTTTTGTCGTTGATGGAAGTATAACCATCAGAGAAACTGAAGTTTAAATGTCAAATCCACTCAACGGGCAGGCAATAAGTATGACCTACGAAAAAATTTCCAGCACTGCAATCGCCAACCAATAGTGAGGGACGCCTGAGTGAGTGTTTTTTTTTTATAGGAGAGGGGGCAAACGAGCATACGGCTCACCTGATGGTAAATGACTACCGTCGCCCATGAATAACTGCAACACTAGGGGAATTGCAGGTGCATTGCTGGCCTTTTAGAAAGGAGTAAGCTCTTTTTTTGAAGGTAATTCGTAATCGTATTGGTCCGAAAAAATCGCCGGTGGCAAGCTATTCCACAGAGAGTTCGTGTACGCGGAAGAAAATTCCTAATGAAACTTACAGTGGTCAACAATATTATATGTAGGTTCGTATTTAGTCCATAAAGGGAAAATATAAGTAACTAAGTTCTAATATAGTATATTTAAATCAATAATTTACTGGCACTTGGGCTATATTACGGTTTCATTACTTGCTACTCTGAATGGAATGTATTTACGAATGAGGAAAAAAAATCTGTACACTTCATACGATTAACACATAAGCCAGCTCCGTAGCGTCAAGTTACTATATTTATTATTTTTCTATATTTAAAATATTTACGTGATTTAATTTATTATTAAATCATTAAAAAAAAACTCGGTGAAGAATGTTTCATAAATTTTATTTAAAAAACATCATTGTACAAAATGTAAAAATCGTGTAAAAACAATCTAGGAAACTTAAAACATTAAACTTATGCATATATCTCGAATGGATAATCGTTTTATATATTATATATCATTAAATAAAAATGCTTTTAAAATAAGGGCTAAACTAGACTATTCACACTTGCTACATTGTTCATTTTTTCTTTATAACAATAATTCACGCTATTTTAATTAAGGTGTTGTTATCATAAAACTTGCATTCAATATCTTACTTTCAAAACATTTTTATCAAACGATATATAAGGTTGTAGACACCTATTGGTGTTGGTCTTGTTGCTCCACATGCTCCTGGGGTTGAAAACCATGCTCGTTAGCGGTAAAGGTGACTGCGTATATAACTCCATCGGGGGCTACGTACTTGTAGCTACCCTTCACTTCGAGCGCCTTGTGATCTTCGGTGATCTGCTTCAGGGTGCCCTGCTCTTGACGAGCTGTACCATCGCTGGTCTCGAAACTTTTAATTGAATAAAATGTTTTAATTAATTTTGATTTCCATACGCTTATATATATTACATATCTGTTGCAATAAGTTTAAAGGTGTTAAAAGGTTTGAAGTAGATCACCATTACGTATTTTATGAATAGATTTTGTTCTTCATAGAAATGGATGAATAAAGTCGTACTCACTCGAAGGTATATCCTTCAGGGTGAACGTTGGAATCCTGTCTAAGGATGTAGACAGGGTGCTGGTCGAGTTGTTGTTGCGGTGCAGCAGCAGCCACAGCGATAATAAAAAGTGCGCACAACACCTGAAAATCAATAATAATGCAATGATTATTAAGTTCAAAATATTATCTTTTATCTCACTTTGGCACTTATCATTGCCTACAAAAAACTTTTATTTTCTTTTAAAAAAGTTAGTAAATTAAAATAGTATTTCTCACATATATATCTCCGCTATTGATGTTACGTACAGCTATTTTTATTTAACATTTAAATTATGTATTATTTATTAAAAATAAAGTAAGTGATGATACGTACGAATTTCTGCATTTTGTTTGATAAGTTGAGTTCACAATAGCAAACCACTTTCTGCTTGAATCAGCTGTTCACTGTGCAAATCGAAACTTGTATCGGTTATGTAAAGAACCGCATCGATCTATGACAAAATCGTCTGTCTCTTACCATAAGTTAATATGAAATAGGGTGCTAATGAAAGAGGCGAGAGGTGTCCTAGAAAAATGTCTAGTGCTAACTTGTATTACGTTAGATTTTCATTAAAATTATTTAGTCTTATCAGAAAGCCTTGTTAGAATTTTTCGTAAACATTTCGAATCTTAAAGATTTGCATTTTTGGATTTCATTGTTCTTATACGTTACTTGAAATTTTAGATTACAAATTGTTAAAAATATTGACATAAACGGAAAATTTCAGAAATTTTGTATAAAATACGCAATTGGTAGACTGGTAGTATCATTATTTTGTGAACGTATGTTAGATAAGTTTAAGTTATATTCTTCATCCAATTATAATTGACTGCAAACGCTTATCAAAATTAGAATTGTACTGTTAGTGATAATTGAATAATATTCAATTCCCTACCATTCTGCATATTTATCTCAAAACACGTGATTTCGGAAATGTTCCGGTAATGAATCTGACCGACGATATATGTAATTTAATTTTCTATAAGCTAATATCATAACAAATGATTGTCATTTACATAAATTTTCGTATTAAAAAATGGACTTTAGTAGCATATAAAATGGAGAACATCTGTTTTAAGAGGGGCACACTGAAATGATCGGGAATAAGAAAAACCACATGCACGGTATAGATAAATTGTATTTTATTGTTTTTCGAAGTATTCACCGTTCAACTTAATGCACTTTTCTATTCGTGCAAACCAATCATTAAAACAGTAATTCCAGTCTGAAGTTGATGTTGACAAAATGGCTGATTTGTACGCTTCCACAGCTGCTTCGGGGTCTTCAAACCGTTGACCGCGTAATAAATCTTTCATTCTAGGGAATGTAAAGAAATCGTATGGGCTCAGGTCAGGACTGTACGGAGGATGGCTCATCAGCTCAACGTTTTCCTGCTTCAAAAAATCATTTGTCTTCCGAGCCCTATGGGAGCTCGCATTATCGTGATGTAAGATGATGCGACGTTTCGGGTTATTTTTTCGGAGTTCGGCTATCATTTCTGGCAAACAAACCGCGATTTACCACTCAGCGGTAACCGATCTGCGTTCCTGTAAAGGAATTGTAGCAACATGCCCCTTTTTCGAGACAAACGTAGCGACCATTTTCTTTGACATGCTGCGGGAGCGAACCACTTTCGTTGGTTTGACCTCGTCTTTGAAGACTCAAACTGCTGACTGATGTTTTCTTTCAGGTTCGTATGAATAAATCCATGATTCGTCACCTGAGACGATATTATAAACGGCATTTGACTTCCCTCCGTTGAAGCGTCGCAGAGTATTCCGGCACCAATCTACACGAGCCGCCTTTTGTTCTTCGGACAAATTGTGGGGAACCCAGCGGGAAACTAGCTTTCTTACACACAGCTCATTATGTAATATCGACTGAATTGCAGTCATTCCGATACTGATAACAGCCCGATCTGCTCGCATGTCACATGACGGTCATCTAATATAATAGTTTGCACAACTGCGATGTTTTCAGGCGTGACCGCTGTTCTTGGTCGACCTGCAGAAGAAACAGTGCTGAGCGGCACACGACCGCGTCGGAACTCGGCATATCAGCAGTATATTGTCGTTTGACTCGGTGCTTCAACATCATAAATCGAAACAAGTTCACTGAGACATTTATCTTGAGATAAGCCGCGACGAAAATTGTGATAAATTATGGCACGGAAATGATCACGCATGAGCTCCATTTCTGTTAACGACTTGTCAACTTTAAACCAACATAGTTTTTGTTTTTAAAATTTTCTTTAATTGTTTGAATGTCATTAAGATTCTAAGAGGCCAGTATTCAAATTCTAAAAAAGGTTTTATTGTAACTCAATCCGAAATATTCTATTCCCGATCATTTCAGTGTGCCCCTCCGTACACAACATGTAAAATATGTATTTAAGGTTGTATTTAGTCCTTATAAGCACATGCTTCTTAGTGCATAATACAGTACAACCTTGATATTACGATACTGAAGGGAATTGAAAAGTATTCGTTATACCAAGTAATTCATTATAATGAGGTTTGTTATATAGAGATTAGGTTGAACTACGATTCGTTTTAACAAGGTAAGAAAACTTGTTTATTAACTTCAACATTACGTAAATAGGCAATACGTGGTAGAACCATGCTGCACCTATATTAGTAGTATAGTTGTAGCACGAGTGGGTCGGCTAGACCGGTGAAGGACCACGCTCTCACAGAATACCAGCGTCAAATAGCAGCTTAACACTGCTGTGTTTCGTATGGTGAGTGCATAGAACCGGAGAGCCTTTTTACTGGAAAAGAGGCATTCCATCTTAGTCCTCACGGGTGACAACGCATCTGCAGTTTGATTCGCAATCGAGGATAGATGTAGATGTCTATGAGCCACAGCAACCAATTACCATCAGGTGGACTGTGTGCTCGTTTGTCACCCTATCCTATAAAAAAAATAGTCATCTGCCTGTCGTGTACGTATCTGAACCTATCAAGACATGATTTATTGTGGAATTAAGTGGGAATATTTAATAGGATTCATTGTCACATTCATTGTTTAAAGTTGAAAAAATTGGTTTAATAAAGGTAAATAATATGTTCTATCTATATTCTGAAATTATTAAAAATTTGTTATAAAAAGATTTTTGATAAATGTATTCGTAATGTAGTTATATTTTGCATTAGCACTTACAGGCAGTTCTAGGGGGATTTCGAAAAATTCGTTAATTCATTACAGAACTATTATCATTAAAATCACCAATACAACCCTCTAAGTTCATATAATCCCTTTAAATGAGTTTTTGTGGAAATATCCATACAATGGGATTATACGAACTTAGAGGGTTGTATTGATGATTATAATCATTATAATTCTGTAAATACATACTCGTTACGCTCGCGAATCATATTTTGTTAAAAATAAAACTTAACCTGGATTTGCAAATTCTAAAAAACGTAAAAAAAATTTGAATTTCGCGGGTCACCCTAGAGCTTTCACCTTAAATCGAGTAATTCGTTATATTGAGGCTTGTTATATCAACTGACACTGTACTATCACTTTTTAGATATGTTACCATTACAGCCTATTGAAGTCCACTGCTGCACATAGACCTCCCCCATAGATTGCCTCATGGGGGCATTGGGGGGGGGGGGGTTATTTACCATAGTTGCCACGCTTGGCAAGCTCCATCTTACGATACCCACAGGATGATATGGGGTAGTGGATATTTTTACACCGCCACTACACGGTGGATACGTGATTATAAAAATGGCCGTATGAGGAAGCTCAAGGTCGCTCAGCGAGCTATGGAGAGGGCTACGCTCGGAGTTTCTCTGCGTGATAAACTTAGAAATGAGGATATCCGCAGTAGAACTAGAGTAACCGACATAGCCCAACGGATTAGTAAGCTGAAGTGGCAGTGGGCCGGCCATATAGCTCGAATAACCGACAACCGATGGGGAAGAAAGGTTCTCGAGTGGCAGCCTCGTACCGGTAGGCGAAGTGTAGGGCGACCCCCCACTAGATGGAGTGACGACCTGGTGAGACATGCAGGAAGTCGATGGATGCAGGTGGCTCAGGACCGTGCTTTGTGGCATTCCTTGGGGGAGGCCTATGTTCAGCAGTGGACTTATGAAAGACTGTAATGATGATAATGATGAAGCTCTTTTTTTGAAGGTAAGTCGTAATCGTATAGGTCCGAAAAAATCGCCGGTGTTAAGCTATTCCACAGAGAGTTCGTGTACGCGGAAGAAAATTCCTAATGAAACTTACAGTGGTCAACAATATTATATGTAGGTTTGTATTTAGTCCATAAAGGGAAAATATAACTAAGTTCTAATATACTATATTTAAATCAATAATTTACTGGCACTTGGGCTATTTTACGGTTTTATTACTTGCTACTCTGAATGGGATGTATTTACGAATGAGGAAAAAAATCTGCATACTTCATACGATTAACACATAAGCCAGCTCCGTAGCGTCAAGTTATTATATTTATTATTTTTCTATATTTAAAATATTTACGTCATTTAATTTATTATTAAATCATTAAAAAAAATCGGTGAAGAATGTTTCATAAATTTTATTTAAAAACATCATTGTACAAAATGTAAAAATCGTGTAAAAACAATCTAGTAAACTTAAAACATTAAACTTATGCATATATCTCTAATGGATAATCGTTTTATATATTATATATCATTAAATAAAAATGCTTTTAAAATAAGGGCCAAACTAGACGACTATTCACACTTGCTACATTGTTCATTTTTTCTTTATAACAATAATTCACGCTATTTTAATTAAGGTGTTGTTATCATAAAACTTGCATTCAATATCTTACTTTGAAAACATTTTTATCAAACGATATATAAGGTTGTAGACACCTATTGGTGTTGGTCTTGTTGCTCCACATGCTCCTGGGGTTGAAAACCATGCTCGTTAGCGGTAAAGGTGACTGCGTATATAACTCCATCGGGGGCTACGTACTTGTAGCTACCCTTCACTTCGAGCGCCTTGTGATCTTCGGTGATCTGCTTCAGGGTGCCCTGCTCTTGACGAGCTGTACCATCGCTGGTCTCGAAACTTTTAATTGAATAAAATGTTTTAATTAATTTTGATTTCCATACGCTTATATATATTACATATCTGTTGCAATAAGTTTAAAGGTGTTAAAAGGTTTGAAGTAGATCACCATTACGTATTTTATGAATAGATTTTGTTCTTCATAGAAATGGATGAATAAAGTCGTACTCACTCGAAGGTATATCCTTCAGGGTGAACGTTGGAATCCTGTCTAAGGATGTAGACAGGGTGCTGGTCGAGTTGTTGTTGCGGTGCAGCAGCAGCCACAGCGATAATAAAAAGTGCGCACAACACCTGAAAATCAATAATAATGCAATGAATATTAAGTTCAAAATATTATCTCACTTCGGCACTTATCATTGCCTGCAAAAAACGTTGATAATATTTTTTATTTGAAAGCTGGTGCTTCTCATGTGGTCCCATATAAATTTGATCAAGGTCTGCCCAATAGTTTTTGAGTTATTCTTAATAATTTATATTGAAGTCGGTTTTACAAAATTTTTCTTTTTAAATTATTATTTAACATTTAAATTTTGTATTATTTATTAAAAAATAAAGTAAGTGATGATACGTACGAATTTCTGCATTTTGTTTGATAAGTTGAGTTCACAAAAGCAAACCACTTTCTGCTGGAATCAGCTGTTCACTGTGCAAATCGAAACTTGTATTGGCTATTTAAAGTACCGCATCGATCTATGACAAAATCGTCTGTTTCTTACCATATGTTAATATGAAATAGGGTGCTAATGAAAGAGGCGACAGGCGTCCTAGAAAAATGTCTAGTGCTAACTTGTATTACGTTAGATTTTCATTAAAATTGTTTAGTCTTATCAAAAAGCCTTGTTAGAATTTTTCGAATTCCAAAGATTTGCATTTTTGGATTTCATTGTTCTTATACGTTACTTAAACTTTTAAATTAAAAATTGTTAAAAAAATTGACATAAACGGAAAATTGCAGAAATTGTGTATGGAATACACAATTCGTGATACAATCGTGATACATAGTTCGCCGTAAATGTCATATAGTACGCAAGCAACCTGGGTTCGATCCCCGCCGGAATCATTAAAATTTTAAGTTCTGATTTAGATACCACGTGCTCGATAAAAGAAAACATCGTAAGGAAACCTTCGTGTAATAACAATAATAATAAAGGAACGGCCTGTGCCCTAGTTTTGGGACGTATATATTTTAACAGACATGTCTGTTTTCACATTAATGCCTTCGCCACGCGTTTCTTTTCTCTTAAATACTATTTAAGATCTAATTATATTTATCATTTTTTGATCAGGTTCTGTACGCTGTGATGAAAGGAACTAACGGATCTGACATCGAAGGCCTGTCACTGCCTGTTGACGAAGACTTTGACCCCAATATTCAACTGGACAACCTTGGACCTAAAACATCTCTAGCCTCGACCATTGATGTTAAACTCTGGGCTCAAACAGTAAGTTTGTATAGTAGTTATAACAGGTTTGACGACAATATAGCTTGATAGATAACATGCTCACTAAATGTACAGAATGGTTCTTAATCCCAATCTATACGTGGTAGAGCCATGCTGCAGCTATATTAGTAGTATAGTTGTAGCACGAATGGGTCGGCTCAGCCGCAACACATTTTGATAATCGCCGCCACTCGGGTTGCTCGATCAAATTCTTTGAAGTTTGCCGCCTCACGAGCGACACATCAAAAGATTTATTGCTTCTCAATTATTATAAACTAGTTTATTCCAGATTATTCCTTCATTTTGCCTATATAAGCGGGTGGATGGTCTGAACGTTAGTTCAGTTCTATTTGAGTTTTGGCTTGCCATGGTCAAAATTAATTGGAGTATGCACTGATGGTGCACCTTCTACTTACGTAAAAGTTTCATCGGAATTTTGAATGAAAAAGCAACAGAATTAAATGTACAAAAAGATGATTTGATAGTCCTTCATTGCATTATCCACCAACAGAACTTGTGTTCTAAGTCCATTCGACTCCAGAATGTTATGAATGTGGTAGTAAAAACCATTAACTTTATTCGATCCCGAGGGCTTAACCATCGTCAGTTCAAGGCGTTTTTGGATGAAATATCAGCTGAATATAACGACATAACATATTATTGTGAAGTCAGTTGGCTAAGCAAAAGAAAAATGTTGAAACGGTTTTACGAGTTTAGAAATGAGATAGCAGACTTTATGAAAATAAAAGATAAACCACTATCTGAATTAAGTGACCCAAAATGGATATGTGACTTGGCATTTCTGGTCGATCTTACAGGCTATTTGAATGATTTAAATTTGAATCTTCAAAAACAAGGACAGTTAGTAAATGATTTGTACAGCCATTTGAAAGCGTTTCAGATCAAACTACGCTTGTGGGAATCACAGATGCTGTCTGGTAACAGTTACCATTTCAACACACTCTCTGCGTATGAAAATATTGCTTATGCTCAATATGCTGAAGAACTCAAGTTACTGTCGGAACAATTTTCGAACAGATTTAGCGACTTCAAAAACATGGAAGACTGTTTCAGTTTATTTGCTACTCCTACAAAATGCTCCAATACACTTACAAATGGAGTTGGTCGAGATTCAAGAAAACTCACTCCTAAAATCCAAATTTGAAGATGTAGAGTTTTACGACTTCTACAAAAAATACCTAGATTAAGACAATTTTCCGCAGCTTAAAAATTTCGCAAAAAGATTGATTTGTGAGTTTGGCAGTACTTATAAATGCAAACAGTTCTTTTCATTGATGAAAGTTAATAAATCAACACATCGTACAAAACTGACTTACGATAATTTGGAAAATTCTTTACGTCTTTGTATCAGTGGAATTAATCCAAATATCGATGGATTAGTTTACCAAATTCAAGCTCAAGTGTCTCATTGATTTCGGTGTATTTAACTTTTGTAGTTTGTAACAATTGAAAATTTAACGATTTGATTATAATGTACCATTTTATTAAATTTCATTTTGTTATTTTAATAAATTGTACTATAATAACATTGTCGTATTATTTCATGTGTAATATCTATCGTAAAAAATATTATCACTACTTTAAAATGCACTAAGTACTTTTAAACGCGACCGCGAACGTATTTGCATGCTAAAGTTTGGCCCTCAACATGTCAAAGGTTGCCCATACCTGCTCTACATAATAGGCTATTCAAACTAACTATGCCTAAAGTTCGAGCCACCCCCCCCCCCCCCCCCAATATTTTAGTTTTTGGCCATTTTGACCCCCTAGGAGTGTAATGAGAATTTTTTTCCCCTATTCAACCATTACCCCCATGACATCCTTTACATGATAGGCTATTCAAACTGACTAGGCCTAAAGTTCGAGTCACCCCCCAACTTATTTCTAGTCTGTACTTCCAAATAATAAGTGAAGAGTGATCACCTTTCATGATAATACTGAATAAATAATTTGTGCAAGAATAAAGCACGTTATTGATACCCTTCAGAAACCAATTGCAAAATTGCATATTGAAACGACCGTGTATTTTCTTATAAAATAATAGAAAAAAGGTGGAGTTAGAACTGAATTTTTACTATACCAGTGTGCTTAATATATCTTGATCAGGTCGTTGGCCATTTTAAGTCCCTTGCTAGATGAATGCCTTTCCAAGAATATACCAGCGGTCATACATTACTTAAATGATTTTCCCAAACTTACTACAGTGACATGTTAGTTGGAAAGTACTGGCATACTGTTAATAGCTTGCAAATTAACGGTATTTGATTTAGCATTCGTCAGTTCTCACAATGCGGGTTTAATAAGTAAAAACAGGTTTAAATAGTTTATAACAAATTATCATATAACTTTATCAATATATCGCCCTGCCGATTATATACAAATACAACCGATATCAACCGAGTTCAGTTGCCTCAGAATGTCTTTTTCAACCGCAGGCCTCCTACAAAATGAATTGCGTAACACATATTATCTGCAAATAATTTAATAAATACTTTGCTTTCTCAACGAAAATCTGAAAAAAGTAAACTGAATTACCACCTTTGCTTGATAATAACTCATATTAAATATTTTCTTTGGATTTTCATTTGACATTTTGATTTATTTATTTTTAACTTCTTAAGATTGAGTCTCTGTCAAATATAGGTAAGTTTTATGCATAATAAAGGCATACAAACGGCTCATGTACATAATTCATTATTTATTTCATTTATTTATCTACTAATATTAATCCAACGATATTTGTATCGATGTCGGTTAGGGTTTGGTTCCCGGGACTTTCGGGTCGAGACTCGAGATGAAACAAGATTGTCGAAATTGTTTTGTAATCATTTTTATTTTCAAATAATTGAAGGAGCCTAGCGCCATGTGTTAGTTTAATGAATAAATACTTGGTCTACTACGTAACTACTGAGTACCCAACGCAACAAATTAAACAAATATGTGATCATGAGAATTAACAATAAGATTATGAACTATGATTAGATACTAGAATTACTAGATAATAGTAAAGTTATTAAGAATTAGTATGATTTTTAACTAAGTTCGTTTCATAACTAAGATTTAACTGTCTAGAAGTGCATATGTGTGTGACTAAAAGAAATAAACAAAGCAATTATTAAGACTGAAATTAACGTTAAAGTTATTTAATTTTCTATTTAATTGTTTAAGAAATGTTGATTTTTACAAAAAATTGCTTCTTTTTAATACGTTTCATCACAATTATTATTAAGGTATATTCGTAAGAACTGGTGTTACATTGTTTGTAACCTCATTTAACCAAATTAGATATACAAGAGCGTCGTTTCTCAATCAGTTGCGGTTACAAGCAAGAAGTGAATTAGCTTAATTTATTGGTGCACTTTGTCAGATATGCACGCAGCTGGTGCTGTTCCTGGGCCACTGGCCGCTGTGGAGCGGCTGCCAGCTGTCGTCGAGCGTGTGCGAGCAGCACGACAGCAGCCCGCCGCTGGGCGCCGAGCTGGGCCCGGCCGTGCTGGCCGCGCGCAACCTGCAGCTCATGCGCTTCAGCGACTCCACGCTCGCCTCACTCATCGAGCTGCCCGCGCTCGACATGCCCTCCGGTGGCACCACGCCAGGTCAGAACTATACTAGTCCCTTGTGCTTTTGATGTCTAAACGTTAAAGTTACAGCCTATATACGTCACACTGCTCGGCAGAGGCCACCTCTCACTTTTGAGACGGTTGCCTTGCCCTAAGCAAGGAAATATTCGCTGTCCCAATGCGTATTGGCGAACTTCACATGTCTTCGAAATATTTTTAGGGTTCCGTACCTCAAAAGGAAAAATCGGAACTCTTATAGGATCACTTTGTTGTCCGTCTGTCTGTCTGTCAAGATATTCAAGTCTACTGTCCCTTGGAGCTGTGAAAAAATCAAACATCTAAGCCAACGCAATCAAAAGATACAGCCGTTTATGCCGCAAATTTTCGACATTCGCAAGGGAATCTAAACCTACAGGGTACTTCCCGTGAACTCAGAATCTTGAAATTTGGTACTAAGCAACGTTTTATAATGTAGATAAATGAAAAATTGCGAAAAGCATAAATTTTTAGTTACATCATATAATAAAAATATTTTTAATAATTTTAAACTTATATACCTACGGATTTGTTCGGAACCCTCGGTTATCGAGTCCGACTCGCACTTGGCCGGTTTTTTTGCTTATTTCTCAGATATGCTGGTTTCCTCACGATGTTTTCCTTCACCCCCGATCAAGTGGCAAAGCAGCTCTTAAACTTTTTGGTGTATATTATACAATATGTAACAAAAACCCTGTGGTTCCCGTTAAATACGTTATCAGGATCAGTATTTAAGCATATGGAAATAACTTTTTTTTTAAACTCGAACATATTTTTTTATTTTATTTAAAAAAAATTAAAATTTTATGTGTTTTTTTTAACTCTTACTGGCACTAGCCGATGCTAAAGCTAAGTAAAGCGGGGTCTTTGACAATCCTCTTACTCCCCAGACAATGCAGAGGTAATAAAACAACATACAATTTGCATACAATTATTTTTTTAAATAAAATAAAAAAAAATATTGTTCGAGTTTTTAAAAAAAAGTTATTGCTATATGTTTGAATAATGATCCTGATTACGTACTTGACGGGAACCACAGGGTTTTTGTTAGATATTGTATAAAATAATTGTATTTTTAATCATGATATGAAATATAAATACATGTGAGACATAATCTAGATTTCTTGTCAAATTTTCGATTGTAAAGGTTCTTAAAGGTTCGTTCGGTATAAAGGTTCTTAAAGGTTTAAATAAATTGAATAAATTTATTGGGATTTTGAGCTTGACTGGTGTAAAATTACATTGTCATCCCTTTAAGAAAAAAATGTCTCTTTAATGTTTATAATTTGTAGAGATGTTGACAAATCGACATCACTAACAAAACAGTTATTTTCGTAAAGAACCTACGTACTTATACCACTCATAATTTTTCACTAAAAGGTAGGATGTTATTCAAGGAGATAATGTAAAGAATATTTTGCCCAGGTCTAATGACATCTGATCGACAAGTACGCATCCTTCTCCGAGATATAGCAGGCAAAGCTTGCTGGGATGCTTCCGCATTGTACTATGACCCTTTTGGTTCTTCGTCGGAGGATCCTCAACCGCTTGTAGTACCGGATATGTAAGACTAATTTTATTCACTCTGTAATTATATTGTTGTTTCGCTCTCATCAAAGACAATGTATTTTTATTATTTTTAAATAGAATGAAATTTAAAAATAATAAAAATACATTTTTTTGGTTTTAGTATGCTGTGATTTAGTGTAATGTGTGCGCAGGTAACCAAACTATTAGCCCGATTAAATTGATTTGATTATTAAATAGAAATTGCATAAATAAACTTATGGAAAAGGCCGTCTCCACATGCTTGACAAACAATACAAACCGCGAACACCAAACAACAAACACGAACCTGTGGATGGTTTTTTGCTTGTTTTTATTTCTTTTTGCCAGTGATCGGCGTCGGTGTTGGTTTTTGTGCACAAATCAAAGGCTGTTCGACAAATGTGTTTGCGATGTATACAAACGTTTGTTAGCAATCAAGTAGTACGCGCGGGCTTGCGGACAGCGGACGGCGGACGGTTACTAGTGGTTTCTATATTATTGTACGCTACGCTGTGCCATTTTTAAAATAAAAGTAGTTCAACCCAAAAGTAATCGCTACAACAAGCTCGTCGTCCGCCATGTTTGACCATCCCGAATAAACTAGTACGTTCGCCGAGCTGCGTTTGCGTTGGATGATTGTGGTCGATGTTTGACACGTGTTTGGTGGTTCTTGGTGTTTATGGCAAACACTAAGCATGTGGAGGCGGCTTAAAAATTTATGGATATTAATTACTTATATATCAAATTACCCCTTTTTTGATAATAATTTAAAAATAAAAATCCAAAACTCCCTAATGTTTACATAAAGACTGAATGACTTTGTATTTTCAGTGTTGACAGCCCAAGAGACAACACTTTATCATCTCTACCACCGCCCTTACCACCGGACCTACTGCCTGATTACAAAAATTCACCACCGGACAAACATCAATTGGATCATGTAAGACTTTTAAAGTTCTCTTCAAATGTTTTTGCTAAGCTATTTAAAATTTACCTTGGGTTTGTTATACATATGGGATAATATCGGATAAGTCACAATTTTGTATAATTGTTTGTTTCATCTTTATCTTCATTTTGGTTTATATAATATTTTGTTATCATTTCAAATAGTCATTAAATAGAAGGTTGATAGTGTTGGCACAAGTAGAGAGTGTGTTTTTTACTGACAACGAAGGCATTCTATCTTGATCGTGAGAGGTGACAACGCATTTGCATCTTGATTCTTAACCGATGATAGATGTAGATGTCTTTCGGTTACAGCATCCACGTACCATCAGGTAAATTGTGTGTTCGTTTGTCACCCTAATTCTTTAAAAAATGAATTTATATTTATAGGCCACGTAGCCTCCCAGATATTGTTTTTTTAAAAGCCTTTTTAAGGTCCTGAAACAAAGAATTTAAATTTGGCGAGCATTTTCTTTTTGAATTTGACGATAGAGTCACGTTTCATGAATAGAAGAACTTTAAATAACGATTTTTGTAATAATCGTTTTTCAATATGGGTCATCCTCATTCTCTTACCAACCTCATTTTATAAACCATCCTCATCTATCCAAATAAATAAAATTGAAGTGTCTGTTTGTAATGTCAAAATAACAGCTTTTTACTAAATGCATATAAAAGTATATACGATACTGATAACAAAAACACTATTTTTAATTTTTGTCTGTTTGTTCCGGCTAATCTCCGAAACGACTGGATCGATTTTGACGGGACTTTCAATGGCAGATAGCTGGTGTCATAAGAAGTAACTTAGGCTACTTATATTTTAGAAAAAGAATTAGGGTTCCGCGCAACATAATTAAAACCCTAAATTACACGCGGGCGAAGTCGCGGCGAACAGCTGGTTGTTGTATATAAAAATGAAAACTGCTTCGAGCGTTAGTGCGTGGCGTGTAATAACGGTGAACTGTACGTGTACGTGCATTCTGCGTGCAGGTGCTGGCGTACATCGGGCACACGTCGCCGGAGGTGGCGTGCGGGCGGCGGCTGGACAGCGCGGGCGCGTCGCCGCTGCCCGCCGGCGCCGAGGACGAGCTGGTGGCCGCGCTCGTGCAGCACCGCAACGCCGAGCGCCTCTACCTCGCGCACCAGGAACCGTGCGTCTTTATTGTGCTTTAGCTTTTTTTTATAACTAGCTTTACGGCTCTGGGTTCTAGGCCTTCTGAGCCTGAAGTTACAATGTATAATTATCTGTCACATAACACTGCTTCACAATATGTTGATGCGTCACATTGTGCAGCCCTTGGGAGATTTTGACGGCAACTTGAGCCAGCAGACACCTGACAGTTGGCGATGGTATCTCAATTATACGTGGTAGAGCCATGATGCAGCTATATTAGTAGTATAGTTGTTCGCGCAAAACGCTGTTGTCGGAATCGACACCAGATGTCACTCGGCTCGGCGCGATTCCGGTCTGAAGTTCTTCCGAGCGTGGCAGTGGCACGCGGGTCGCAAGCGAGTCAATCGTCTGTAAGCGGTGCTGACGTGAGCACGCGGTCAATTCTGTTAGGGAACTCGGAATAATTAGGTGCGGCCCGTAAATATACGGTCTAGGATTTTGTGACGCGCATTCCTGCTGGAGAGCTTCACGGGACTTATTGGGTCCGACTCGGAACTGTACAGTGCATTCGACAATATTAGCTAGTGCGGCCTCTGTATTCTAGAATTAACTGTTGCAACGCGAAACGGTAGTGACCTTTGATCCTGTAAACTCCGTGTGCGTTTTGCGAGTTAACCTTATACCCAGCGATAGTTAGTGGCTCCTGTAAGCTAGTAAATCGTACGATAGAGTTAATTGACTGTTAACGTGACGAAAGAAGAAAGTGACTGTGGACAACCTCGAAAGGCCCCCTCAAGTTGGAGCGGTGTCGACGCTCGGGCTGCTGCCGACGGCCAAGGTCTAGGTTCAATCACCATCAGTCACACCCAGATACACACCACATCACCCTTCTTTCCCTTGCACTACACAACCACATGCGACCTGACCGACTCCGGAGGGACCAGTCGCCTTGGATATAGGTAAGTAAGCTTCGTCCAAATTCCTTCCGGTCGACTGGCCGTAGTATAACGCTCCCCCATATATTTTAGTGTAATTAGAGAGATTCCACGTGGCCACATTGAGGCTCGACCTACGTCTGCTCGGGAAGTCTTCAGCTCATGGGCCCCTGAGGATTGGATCCTTTAAGGGAGCAGCCGTAGGCCGTAACAATAGTTGTAGCACGAATGGGTCGGCTCGACCGGGGAAGGACCACGCTCTCACAGAATACCAGCGTAAAATAGCAGTTTAACACTGCTGTGTTTCGTATGGTGAGTGTAGAGAACCAGACCCTTTTTACTGGAAAAGAGGCATTCCAACGTAGTCCTCACGGGTAACAACGCATTTGCATTTTGATTCGCAAACGAGGTTAAATGTAGATATCTATGGGTCACAGCAACCACTTACCATCAGGTGGACTCTGTGTCATCCTATTCCTATAAAAAAAGAACAGCCTAAGCATACAGACACCTTATCTTAAGAATCACATCACCATCAGAGCACTTGTTTCACCGTTTCCACTAATAGTTCACATGCGCACACATTTAATACACAAGATCGCACCACTTCTACATATCAAAATCCAGTTCAAACCATTATTTAAACAATAATACAGGAGAAGAAATCCGTCGCCGGTCAAGTTCCCGCCAAAACTCTGTGCATTAGCTGCAAGCCCTTTGCTCAGGAGTATGGTTGACGCTGTTAACTCCCGCATCAATGATACAGCACCACAGAATAAATAATAGTACTGGATGATTTTAACAGTGGTAGAGCTAAGCGGTAGCTTTTGCTGTCGCACGGATGGGCCAGCTCGAACCGGGGTGGTACTACGACCTCACAGAATACCAGCGTGAAGTAGAGGTTTACTTCTGCGTTGCGCTTGGTGAGTACAGGTGACCGAATGGCCCAATCCCCCCCCCCCCCCCCCCATCAACATGGTAGTGGAATTAAATAAAAGACTACCTCAGGAGGGTACCAGCATCCCTGGAGAATCCCTCGCTCTCCACGACCAAACTACTTCACTCCTGAGCGTTAGTGCACAGGCTGCCCCGCGTATTCTGGGGGGGGGGGGGCAAAATTCCGCTCGCGACTAATACTGCTCGGGGCAAGCGGAGCAATACAACCAAGGCGACCCCTGTCACACTATCCGTGAATTTTCGCAACATCAGGGGACTTCATTCCAACCTTAACGCTGTCCATTACCATCTAGAGACGGCGAAGCCGGCCTTGCTCTTTTTAACCGATACTCAGGTGTCCTCTTCGGCTGATACTTCATATCTCTCCTACCCGGGGTACAAACTCGAAAACTCCTTTGTGCCCCGAGCTGGAGTTTGCGTATACGTCAGAGAGGACATCTGTTTTCGACGCCTCGGCAGTCTTGAAGTTACGGACCTGTCCATGCTATGGCTGCGCGTAGACAACGACGACCATCCCCGCGTCTACGGGTGCCTCTATAGGTCCCATAGCGGTAATGCCGACACAGACCGACTCATCGACCACGTCCAAATGGCTGCAGACTCCGTGCTACAACAGGTCCCATCCGCAGAGATCGTGATACTCGGTGATTTTAACGCCCACCACGCTGAATGGCTTGGTTCTCGTTTAACCGATCATGCGGGTAGATCTGTCTATGACTTTGCTTTGGCATATGGTCTAACACAACTGGTTACTTCTCCTACGCGGATCCCAGATGTGGAAGACTATGTACCTTCCCTGTTGGACCTTTTGCTGACCTCTCATCCGGACGGATATCAGGTCTCCGTCGATGCCCCTCTGGGTTCTTCAGACCATTGTCTGATCCGGAGTACGGTGTCACTCACGCTCCAATCGCAGTTGCGATCTGCAGCTTGCCGCCGTGTTTGGCACTATAGCTCAGCTGATTGGGACGGGATGCGGTCTTTTTTTACATCGTACCCTTGGGGGCGGGTTTGCTTCTCGCCGAAAGATCTCAGCGTTGTTGCCGATTCTGTTGCTGATGTGGTACTTCAGGGTATGGAACTTTTTATTCCATCCTCTGTGGTGTCCATCGGAGGCAGATCCCAGCCATGGTTTGGTCGCTCCTGTAAAATAGCATCACGCTATAAGCAGGAGTGCTACCGGGCCTGGGCTGACGCATCAACGTCTCGGAATGTAAACACCAGCGCACTTAAAAACAAGTATAATTCCGCCTCCAGGTCCTTCAAACGCGTCATTGCCAAGGCAAGGTCTGAGCACATCGGCAGAATTGGCGAGAAGCTAGTTCGCCTTCCTTCGGGAACCCGTGCATTCTGGTCTCTAGCCAAGGCTGTCCAAGGGAACTTCTGTCAGCCATCTCTTCCATCTCTGCACAGGGAGGACGACTCACTGGCCCATGCCGCAAAGGAGAAAGCCGATCTGTTGAGCTCTCTTTTTGCGTCCAACTCGACTCTAGATGACGGGGGTAACACACCGCCGACCATCCCGCGATGTGAGTGCTCCATGCCGGATGTGCGGTTTACACAGCGCTCGGTTCGCAAAGCACTCTTCTCCCTGGACGTCAGCAAGTCGAGTGGGCCCGATGGAGTCCCTCTCATTGTGCTGAAGACGTGTGCTCCGGAGTTGGCACCAGTTTTAACGCGTCTTTTCCGATACTCCTACTCCCAAGGCGTAGTCCTGAATTCATGGAAGACAGCTTTTTTAGGGATCGGGTGGATCCCTAAAAAAGGCGACCGCTCAGACCCGTCCAACTACAGGCCTATTGCCATCACCTCCTTGTTCTCCAAAATAATGGAATCCATTATAAACTGCCAGCTCATGAGGTACCTTGAGGATCACCAGCTGATTAGTGACCGCCAGTACGGTTTTCGTCGAGGTCGATCAGCTGGTGATCTTCTAGTCTGACTCATAGATGGGCGGAGGCAGTAGAGTCCAAGGGGGAGGCATTGGCCGTTAGTTTAGACATAGCGAAGGCCTTCGATCGGGTTTGGCACAAAGCGCTTCTTTCGAAGCTTCCTTCCTATGGGCTTCCCGAGAAATTGTGCAAATGGATCACCAGTTTCCTTGCTGATTGGAGCATCAAGGTCGTAGTAGACGGTGCGTGCTCTGATTTCAAGCCTATCAACGCTGGTGTTCTACAAGGCTGGGTACTATCACCAACGCTGTTTCTCCTGCATATCAATGATATATTGCTAACTAGTATCATTCATTGCTATGCAGACGACAGCACTGGTGATGCCTTATATACCGGCCGTGCCAATATTTCTCGGGAAAACGTCGCTGAGTACCGGGACAAACTTGTGTCTGAAGTCGAGTCTTTCCTTAACAAAGTCTCGGATTGGGCCCGACTAAGTCTAGTCCATTTCAATCCCCAGAAGACACAAGTTTGCGCGTTTACCGCTAAAAAGAACCCCTTTGTCGTATCTCCTCAGTTTCAAGGCACTCCCCTTGCTGCCTCAGCTAGTATCGGAATCCTTGGCGTCGACATATCGAATAGTGTGCAGTTTCGTGGTCACTTGGAAGGGAAGGCCAAATTGGCCTCTAAAAAGCTTGGCGTGCTCAGCAGAGCGAGACAGTATTTCATGCCGGCACATCGCTTGCAACTTTACAAAGTGCAAGTTCGGCCTCACATGGAATACTGTTCTCATCTCTGGGCCGGGGCACCACAGTGCCAGCTCCTTCCACTTGACCGCATCCAGCGCAGAGCGGTTCGAATCGTCGACGACCGAGTCCTTTCCGGTCGGCTCGACTCATTGGCGCTGCGAAGAGATGTTGCATCTCTTTGCATTTTCTTTCGCATTTACCACGTGGAGTACTCTGAGGAATTGTTGGGATTAATCCCAGCCACCAAATTTCACGAACGCACATCGCGGCAGAACTACCGATACCATCCACACCATCTGGATGATTGGCGGTCCACCACTGTGCGATTTAGAAGTTTTCTTCCTCGCACAACTTCCTTGTGGAATCAATTACCACCAGCGAATTTTCCGGACCGATACGACTTAGGAACCTTCAAGAAAAGAGCTTACACCTTTCTAAAAGGCCGGCAACGCATCTGCAATTCCCCTGGTGTTGCGGTTGTTCATGGGTGGCGGTAGTCACTTACCATCAAGTGAGCCGCATACTCGTTTGCCCCCTATTATATAAAAAAAAATCTACGTTAACGGTGTAGTGGCGGTGTAAGAATATACTACTCTATATCTTCCCGTGGGTGTCGTAGGCGACAGAAGGAAATGAAACAGAAGATGGGCAACACCATCTTCCTGGTATAAACTTATAATAATAAAAAAATATTCCATCGCTAACCCACCTCTATCCGTACCCCGAAGCAATCTATGGGGAAAGCCATGTTCGACAGTAGACTTTTGATAAGCTGTGTACAGTGCAACTGTACATTTTTGTTACTAAGCGATTTATTTAGGTCAACATCATACAGAAATATAAATACAGAAACAGAAACTGTTTTATTCAATATAGATTATAAATAATATTGAAAGTCACTCTTTTGTTTAATTACAGCTGGTTCGATAAAAAACCTCTGTCCTTGGAAGAACCAGCAAGAAACCCAGCGGGACTTTTTCTTTAATAACAGCTTACAATCAGAGGCGTAGCCTGAACTAATATAAACGTGCGCGAAGTTGCATCAGCGAGGTCCCTTTTCTTTCGTTCAATGGGTCTACCGAATAGATCTATCCTACCTACCATGCATTGACACGACATACGAGGGCGACACTGAAAGTTTTTAGAACTGGCTACTTGTAAACGATATAATAAAAAATAAGTTCAAATTTTGAAAATCGAACTCTTTGCCAATATTATTGTATAAATGTATTTTATTAATTTATAATTTGTTTACGATTTGGCGGCAAATTGAAAATTGTCTGTGTCACATCAGCATGAATTTAACGCGAGAAAATTTTCGTACACTGATTTTTTATGTATTTCGATGTTATTTAAGTCAACAAGAAAGATATGATAGACTTTGATTGGCCTTTCACGATGCAGCCCCATCTCGTGCCACTGTTTATAATTGGTTTAATGAGTTCAAACGTGGTAGCACTAATCTCACCGATGATCTGCTTGAGGGACGGCCATTGATTTCGTCTTGTATAACTCAATGGGGACGGCCTTCTACGGCGACGACTGAAGATAACATCAGTGTTGTGCGGCGTGTGATAGAGACTGACAAAAAAGTGACTTATCAGCAGATTCGGACAAGAAAAGGCATCGGTATGCGTCAAGTGCACAAAATCCTCCATAAATATTTAGCAGTCAGGAAGCTTTGTGCCCGGTGGATACCTCATAACTTGACAGAGGCCCAAAAACTCCGTCGTGTTGATTGGTGTTGTGAAATGGTTCAAACATTTAATGGAGGTGACTCAAATGCTGTGTTCGACATACTTACAGGTGACGAAAGCTGGATTTATTGTTATGATCCAGAAGCTAAGAGACAGTCTGCTGTCTGTGTGTTTCCTTCCGAGGAGTTGCCAACTAAAGTGAAGAGAAGTCGAAGCGTGGCCTCGTTCTTCGGAAGGACAGATCATTACGCAACAATTGTTTTAGTGGATTAAAAAACAGTTACTGCAGAGTGCTACACTAACAATCGTTTGCTATTTGTCTTGGAAAAAGTTCGGGAGAAACGACCTCGCAGTAGGATCCTCCTTCACTACGACAACGCCTCGTCGCACATCGCCAAGCAAACAATCGACTACTTGGCGACGTCAGACGTGGAATTACTGGGTCACCTGCCCTATAGCACCGACCTTGCGATTTTTATTTCTTTCCGAAAATAAAAGAAAAACTTCTTAAAAAAGATGTATATGGACAATATTTTGGAAAGATATAATAAGTGTAATAACTTGCTAATTTGTTCAGATTTTGATTTTTTAAGAACTTTTAGTGTTACCCTCGTACCTACTCATATCTTTTAATTCCTGACAAGTCTCATATTCCGTCAATGTAACAATCACGGTCTTTGAAGGTAGTTTCAAAGGCCTCGCAGTCGCATTTAAGGGGGGCTTCTTGCGAGGCCTCAAACAAACACACTTTCACTTTTTCAAGAGTGATCAAATTAATTAGTCATCTGTGATAAAGTCTGGTGGCATCGCATTTTAGGGGGTCTCACGAGGCCCCTTAAGTGCGAGGCCGTGGGCGAGGGCCCACTTCGCCCACACGTAGCTACGCCACTGTTACAATCATGTATGTAACACAATTAACAACAAAAAATAAATTAGAAATAGCTTAGTTGTGTGATCACCATAGTGGGGTTATTATCATCCATAAATTCCTTAATATTATAATAACCCTTTTTATACAAACTTAGTTTATTAAAGTTTTTGAACTTTGAGCAGGTTTTGTATATTTTCTGGGATTTTGTTAAGGTGTGTGAATGTATATTGTGTGTGAGTGTGATATATTAAGTTAATGCTCTCATTAACAATATTGTGAACACAATAAAATATGTTCTCAATTAGCGAGTAACTTTTTATGGGTGTAAGTGTTGATTTTTTTACAAATTTGACTAAAAAGTATTTCTTATCGTTAAATTGTTGATTTTTACGTGAAAATAAATAAATATATTGCTGCATGACTATTACAGTTACTGTTTTTCATTAACATGCATTACCTATCTGTATATGTATAAAAACCAGATGTATAAGTACCAGATTCCAGTATACAATAAAAAAATGAACAGTCTAAATAAGGTTCGGTTTCGGTTTCGTTTTCGGTTGAAAATCCTGTTTCGGTCGGACACTAGTTAAAAGTTGTTTCGTAAAAATAAAATACCAACCTTTTTTTCCTATAATGTATTAATTAAAAACTAGTATAATCTGCAATTTGTTCATTTAATCTCATATCAGATGTTTTTGACATTCATTCTAATTCTATTTACTTACGTCATCATTAAATTAACAAATAGCGGTTACGTAGGCACCAGGCACCTTGTTCGCGTATAGATTGACATGTGAATAGTATCTCGGTACATTCCCCATGTATTCCTACCACAATCGATATTTCTGTTTTATACTTTTGCGTCACTTTTTCAAAAATGTGTGTAAAATCATGACATAATATGAACTATTTTTGCAGCGATGAGGAATTGGAGCCAGAGGAGATGTGCACGCCAGGTTGCTCAACAGCTGCGGGTCCGTTTGATCTGTGCCGCCAGTTCCTGGCGCAAAGTGGCGCCCTGGCGCCGTCGCGACGCGCTCACGTGCAGCTGTTGAAGCGTTCTGACCGCTTGCTACGTGAACTACGTAATCTTGACGCGCTTAGGTATTAAATTATATAATTTAAATATTTTTCTTTTTCTCTAAATACACTACAACAGAGCACAAAATATTTTGTTTAGTATTTAAATGCGGTATATGATCTGGCGTGCTGTAAAGCCGTGGTTGTTTTAGAAATAAGCCTAAATATTGCTGTAAATTTATTTCGGTTCGATCCGCGAAGGAGCAAATAGGGTTGCTGCTTGTGGTTTAAATGCTATTTTACGACGTATTCGGCGATGAAAGTGGAAATGGAATGGAAAATGTCGTGAAGAAAGTCACATGTCTGAACAATATAAATATTTCAAAGAAACGTGAAATCCGCCAATATAGGCTAGATTAGTGGAGAGGTATATGCCAAGTAGCGGGACGTATAAAGGTCCTTCATTTATGTGGTTTCATTAACATTAAGTCACAAAACTTTGGTCTTTCTGATACAGGTGTCGTGAAACGCATAAGGTTGCTGTGATATACGTCGGCAAAGGTCAGGAGACGCGGAATGAAATCTTGTCGAATCGCTGCGGAAGTCCAGCTTATGAAGCATTCCTTGCTGCTCTCGCTTGGGAGGTAAAACTTCACAATATTCATTTCAAGAAATGTAACATTTCAGTCTAACGGAAAACCACGTTGTAAAATTGTCTTAACTTTTAATATAGATTCCGGATACCCGACTTTTGTGAATTGTAATTAATTCTTATTATAAAAAAAGAAAGATAAATTTATTGCTTAGCAAATTATTACCATAATATTATATTAATATTACTAAAAAGATATAAAAACTAAAGTATTAAAGGACATCATTACACATTTAATGTACAAAATGATTTATTTAAATAATACTATAAAATAGAATCGAATAATTTTATTCAATCTAGATTACCAATCCAATTCAATCTAGATTCATTCTAGATTAAGAAATCTTATTAAAAGTTATTAATGCTTTTACCACTGGCTCGGTAAAAAAACCTTTGTTCTGGAACAAACCAGCAAGAAACGCAAAGAGACTTTTATAAACTTTAATTATTTAAAAAATACTATCTAATACTAACAGCCCTTTTTACATAGGGAAATGCATCCGCATACTCCTCTTGCGAGGTTATGTCGGACTCGCGCCTACTAAAATATAATTGTGTACCACTTTTCTCGATAATCCAGCAACAACACAAAACAAATTAAAAATAGCTTTGTAGCGATCACCTCATTTCCAGGGGCTATATGCTAATATAACCCCTGGGATAATAATCCATAAATTCCTTAACAGTTTCACTGTCCGATTTTCACACAAAGCAATGAACTATATGTAGTGCACGGGACAGCAGAGGGGTTAACATTATAATATAGTATATTTCATTACAAGTGCGGAAAACTTGTCATTGCAAAGAGTTCCGACAAATGTCTACCCGAGCCGAGGCGCAGCCGAAGGTGAGGGTTGACAGTCGGAACAAGTTGCAATGACGGTTCAGCACGTGTACTGAACAACTATTTTTAATACAGTTGCGAAAAAATAAAGCAATTTAATAAAGAACATTTTTGGAAAATGGCGCCAACCGTAAAAGAATATAAGCAGAGATTTTTTTTTCTTTTCTTCACCCATTCTGGGTAGGTAAAGGGAACTATGCCCATACAGCCAAGTCTTCAGTAGAATTTTTTTATTGATATGAAATGAAAATTAAATTTAATGAGATGAAATGAAATGAAACCTAATCTAACTCATTAAATCAAATCATTCAATCTGATATTGAAACGGATTAGTAGCTGCTTTTTAGAAATATTTGCATGAATCATAAAAACTTATATGATTTTTTTTTTAGTAAAAACTTCGTGGTTGGTTTTTTTTTCTTTTTAATAGACATTATTTTGACAGTTGGGAAAGAGAACGCACGAGTTCGAAAAAGGTAAAGAAAAAGCACGAGTATGTAATAGCCCACATCCCGAACGCTATACGTCCCTGCAATACGCCACTATTTGAGCAACTGTATTAAAAACTCTTTTTCATACAAACTTAGTTTAATAAAAATAAAGTTTTTGTACTTTGAGCAGGTCAAATTTAGTATATTTAGTGGGATATATGTTGTAAGCGTATCAGTGAGTGCGTGTGTGCGTGTGTGCGGCAGGTGGAGCTGGAGTCGCACGTGGGGTTCGCGGGCGGGCTGCGGGGCGGCGGCGGCGGCGGCGTGTCGGCGCCCTACGTGGCCACGCTCACGCTCGAGGCGCTGTTCCACGTCGCCACGCGCATGCCCGCCGACACGCCCGACGCCATACTCAACAAGGTACACCCGAGAGTACATGACACCACGCCACACGAACCACAACACACAACCCTTTGTATCTTGGCAATATAGAACCAAATACTTCTAGTATTACTGCTAGACCGGTAGTCCAGAACAATCGATCGCACGGACACGGATTCATTCGGGTGGCTGGCACAGTAAATATGCCAGTTTAAGTATGCACAGTTGTATTTTCATTTAGGGACAGTTACTGTTTTTAGGCAAATACGAAATAAAGTTACACACTTATTTGAAATAACAAAGTGCGCATATATATATATATATATATATATAATGGCAGCATTTTCTTTGTCACATTGAACAAAATCAATGTTAGATAATCGAAAACAATGTTCAAGGTTTACAAAACAGACAACTAGTCTTCTCGCTCGCTCGCATTCGAATAAAAAAGTTACGGAAAATTGACCGTTACTTAGTGTGCAATGTATTAATACCGTAGTTCTCGTCTTGTATACAAGAATACATAGAAGTTTTTTTTTATAAAAAAAATATGTTGTATACGTAGCAGCACGAGTCGTGAGCACAACCTTAACATGCGCAGTAGTTAATTAATAGGTGATATAAAAGGATGCGCGATGGCTAAGGTGAACCTTCCATCACGTGAATGATCCGGTAGTTAATCTTCGTCATTCACTGGATATTCGCGTGACATTCGCCTACATTATATAAACTGGTAAATGTGCATGCGCAAATACTGTCTGCGCTGACGTAATGATTAGTGATACGTAAATATAATGTTCCACAAAAACATTGAAATATTTACTCCATCTAAAACAAAAGTCTGCGATACCTTATTTATATTTCTTATACATAAGCCATAATAAGGTCTTTGAGTCAAAAAAATATTGAAACTTGAAAGTGATTTATGAGCGTTATTATTAGGTATCCAACTGTTCCAACTGTTGTAATCATTGCTATGAGCCAACGAACTATGGTTGACGAAATTAATGCGCTTAACTTTTACCAATATAATGGTATACGCAATAAATATGGTAAAACACTCGACCTTGTGTTATCTAACTGTGATGTAGCCGTATCTGATTGTAGTAACGACTCTTTGGTACCAGTAGATCCCTTTCATGGAGCGTTAGTAATTGAAGTACGTTTTTATGAGTTAAGCACACTTAAAACAACTTCGTTTATTAAGTTTTTTTTTTTTTTATAATAAAGGTGATTATCAATCAATTAATGGAAAATATGCTGACATTGATTGGCAACCTGAATTTTCTTCGAAATCTCTTAATGATTCCATTAAATATTTGAGACATTAAGAGATAAGCACATACCGTCAAAAATAGTTAAACCGAACTCCTACCATACATGGTATCCCCTAGCATTAAAAAGAGCAATTAAAGAAAAACAAAAGCACCTTCCTAAATTCAGGACCTACGGTAATAGATCCGATGAAGAATCGTATAAAATACTGCGCACTCGTGTTAAATATTGGAAGATATGTGTCATAAAAACTACATATCAACCGTTGAAAGGTCAATAGAAAAAAATCCTAAATATTTCTGGTCATATGTTAAACGTAAATAAAAACTCACTCTATTCCAAGTAGTCTCAATTTAGGTAGTGTAATTTATAACACAGGACAGTCTATTAGTGACGCGTTTGCAACTTATTTCAAGTCAAATTTCTTATACCCGGGCGCTCAATCAACTCCAAATATTCCTAATGTAACATCAAAATCGACTGCAAATATTTCAAAAATAGAAGTTAACGTTAAGCACGTGTATCGGTTGTTGAAAGCTCTTGATCCATCAAAATCCGCCGGACATGATAACCTACCAGCCACTTTTCTTATTAATTGTGCAGAGACGTTAACACTACCAATAAGTTTGCTATTTCGCAAATCGTTGCATGAATGCTCAGTTCCTGATATTTGGAATGCACAAGAAGGGTCTTAGGACCGATGTCGCTAATTATAGGCCAATTTCTAAGTTGTGCATCATTTCCAAAGTCTTTGAAGAGTTGATTTATGAGCAGGTATATCCGTTACTCAAACAAAGCATAAGCCAGTCTCAACATGGTTTCTTCAAGGGTAGATCTACCGTTTCCAATTTAGTGCTCCTCAATTCATTCTTAACTAAAGCCGTGGATGATGGTCATCAAGTTGACGTTATTTATACAGATTATAGTCAGGCTTTCGACTGGATTGAACATAATTTGCTTTTAAAAAAGCTTCAGTATGTTGGTATCTGTGGAGACCTACTGCGGTGGTTCTCCTCTTATATCGACAATCGCTCGCAGGCTGTAGTTGTTAACAATTACATATCAGGTTGGGTATCAATACCGAGTGGTGTACCACAGGGGTCCTTGATGGGGCCGTTGCTATTTCTTATATTTGTCAACGATATTGAAACCTATTTTAAATCATCACACCTCCTGTGTTTTGCTGATGATATGAAAATATTTTACACAATCTCATCTCAGGCTGATGCTGAATTACTGCAGGGAGATCTACTAAGATTGGAGGAATACCGTAATATCAATAAGCTTGATCTAAACCCATCAAAATGTACCCTTATTACATATTCACTCAAGCGAAACTTAATTAATATCGGCTATCACCTTAAAGGCCAGAAGTTACAAAAAGAATCTGTTGTACGTGATCTAGGGATTTTGCATGACTCTAAGTTATTATTCAACACCCATGTTGACAATATCATAACTAGGGCATCTAAGGCGTTAGGTTTTGTCATGCGTACTGCAAAGGAGTTTAATAATATTAAAACAATTAAAATCTTGTACTGTACTTACGTCCGCAGTATGCTTGAATATGCTTCATAGATTTGGAACCCGATGTATCATACATACATTTCACGGATTGAAAATATCCAACGTAAATTTATACGATATCTTTACTATCGTACCCATAGAAACTACCGATCAGAAAACTACTTATTCTTATGCAAACACCATCATCTGCTACCTTTGATAAAGCGTCGGGAGATTGCTTTATTGAAAATCTGTTCTGGCAATGTTGACTGTTCTGATTTGCTATCACAAAAATCACTGAGAACGCCTATAGTGAACCTTAGAACGAATGCATTACTCTACTTACCAGCTTCATCAATTAATTATGGAAGAAATACTTTCATGTATCGGTCTATTAATAATTTTAATAATTTATGCAAAAAGCATGATTTTGATTTGTTTAATACTAGCTATATATCGGCAAGGCGGGCATTAAGTCGAGAGTTTTTTGTCATAATTTAATTTATTTTAAGAAATATTATATTGTGTGTTTAGTCCTGCTTTTTCTTTTCTTTTGTGGCTATTATTGTTTGTTTCACTTATTAAATTTATGCATGTTGTTCATTTAAATTAGACTCCATTTTTGTTGCTCATATGTCCTTTAAACAACGAAATTGATTATGTTAGTGTATTTCTATTAGTGAGAACCTGTTATTGGCTTTTTTGTAAATTTAACATGTTATTTACTTAAGATTTGTAAGCTGTTGGTTTTCCATAACATAAAAATAAAATAAAATAAATAAGTGTGGCAAATTCATCCTTATGAACGAAAGTTACTTCATCATCAAGACGGTTTTATGAAGATAAATGTTGGTCCTTATAGCATGTTATTTGGACGCGTAGATAATGAAAAATTAAAATAATTCCGACACTCGGCTCGGCGTGCGAACGACGCAACTCTAGCCGCTCGATTAGAACCGAGAGAAACCAGCAGTGAACGCTTCTATGAGCGAGGTTATTTCAATCGTTTTAGCTAAAAATTGGCAAAATTAATGGAGTACCTTTATCTATCAGCATATGTACGTTATAGAGTGAAGTTTAATTTTATTTACTCTCCCTCCCCCACCCGGGTGAGTGTCAACCCTCCACGTTCCAGAAAGTGTCCCGAAGCGTGGTTTTTTTTTTCAGTATTAAAGAAAACCATACACGATACATGAAAAGTGTGTAGGTATAAAATAACTCTTGATAAATTTGCTATCAACTTCTTACATATACAAAAGCGATATCACTTATAGTTCCCGCGCAATTATATTAAAACTAGAAAAAACCGAGCTTTGGGACACTTTATGGAGCGGGGGGGGGGGGGGGGTTACATATGCCGATAGCTAAAAGTACTCCATTAATTTTCTAATTTTGCCATACATTGCCTATGTAAAATGCTTGAACTAGGTGTCATATCATGTCGCACGACTCAGGCACGTGATATACGTGGGTGAAACCGCGGAGCAAAACTAGTATATGATATATGCGATGGTTAAATATGACATCAACAGCATTAATTGCGGATTATCTGTAACTTCACTTCATGCACTATACGACAAAGGACATGCAAACTCTTACCTCGTTCTCCAAATTACTTGTCTTGACGTAGGTGTGACGTGCTCTACCAAGGCGACGTCAATAATATGTAGCTGAGTGGTAATCACAAAATAATATGTAATATAGAATAACAATTCCATCAAACTCCATGGTGCAGTGGCTTAGCAATGAGTTGCTGCGCTGGGGGCCGCGGGTCTGAATCCCGCACGGAACAAGTATTTGTATGGCCTGTAAATATTTTTTCCAGGTCTGGATGTTTGTCCTTGTGCAATTTATGTTTGTAAACTGCCTCCACAATACAGGAGAAAATCCTAGTGTGGGGGTAACGTTTTTTTAAATAAGTTTAAAAAAAATTGCGGCGCGATGGGGTCAACACACGACCACACAGCGCGGTGACTAGCACGAAGTGACACGTAATCTTTCTGACTTCACAAACTAATACAGACATCCATAGTGTGGTTACACTGCACAGGCTGTTAAATTATTATTTTTACTACCAGACGAGGCACTTGGGCAACGACGAAGTGCACGTGGTGTGGAGCGAGCACTGGCGGCCGTACAAGCGCGACACGCTGCCCACGCAGTTCTGCGACGTGCTCATCGTGCTCTACCCGCTGCCCGGCGGCCTGCTGCGCTGCACCGTCTCCAGGAAGCCAGATGTGAGTCCGTTACGCTTCTTATTTTGTGTTTATGACATTTTATTCGATACCATTGACAAGTATAACATTAAATTTACTGGATTAGTAAATTAAGCTAACAATAATAATAAAAAAGATAAAAGATAGCTCTTGCCATTTTCTGTCACCAAGCAGCAATGCGTTTACTGTTGAGTTTCGTTCTAAAGGATTAAGGCAACCAGTAAAATAACAGGTTGAGATACATTACAAACAGTTTTCAGAGGTGACTAGACGCGTCTACGGACTGCAGTAGTCACTTACAATTATGTCAACTGTGATTACGTTGGTCACTTAAGTTTTATAAAAAAAAGAACTTGTTCTCATGGTTGAAAAGTGATAACGCATCAGTTATTTTAAGAAAATGAGACTCCATAGAAATGCCTATATTCAGTACACAATTGACGGCCACTGTGAAGAATTAAGATGCGTATTACAAAAAAACACGAAATTGCAAGGTTTCCTCGTTGAAATTGTATGTTTATCGTTCGTTGCTTGAAATAACAATTACTTGGTAAAAATAGGCCGTTTTCTCTTCTCAATTAAGCTCAGAGCGGATTTTAGATAACTTATTTATTTAATCAGTAATAATCATTCTCCCGATGCATGTTTAGGCAAAAACGCTCGAAGACATGATTTGGAAGCTCTAATTTATAGATTCTATTGAATGTCGACCAACAAAAAAAAATCCTACACTTTAATAATTATTGAATACATTTTCGTTATATGCCTTTCACGCTAGGAAAAAAATATACATAATTCAAAAAACGACCGAAAAAGCTTCGATACAAGCCCCTATATTTCCGAAGTTCTACATCATTTAGACGTAAAATTTATACCAAAATAATCATCAACATTTGTTTAAACTATACTATTATTTTTACTTTTTAAATCGTTAGTATTATATTTTAATTAATTAAATAAAAGTACTATATATTTCACTGCGCCGGCCATCTGCGACCACTATCGCGCGAGCGCTTGTCGAGGTTGGACCTGCGTCAGTTGATTTCGCGCGCTGCGTCGTTTCTATACTGCCGTAGTGTGCGTCGATTGCTTGCGTGCTAGAACTTCGTCAACTACGACCGCAGTTTTTGATCGATCGGTTAAAACTATTTTATATAATATAATTTAGATCACGTCTCTTCCATTAAACATGGTATGGACATGGACAACGAGTCTGTAGCATTGGCACAATTGAAGAAACAAGAATATATTATTATAGAAACATGTGGTCTATTCATTGACCTAGATCATTGTTATTTGAGGGCTTCACCTAATGGTTTATACAGCGACGGTCTTATTGAAGTTAAATGTCCTATTTCATCTTTCGGAATAGATTTTCACACGGCCTTTCGACCAAAAAAAAGTTAAAGGTTATAAATTCAGTGATTCAAGTGTAACATTAAATCAAAATAATGACTGGTTTTACCAAATCCAAGGCCAGCTTCATTTAGCAAATAAAAATGTCTGAATACTTGGCATAATATGTACTGGCCCAGATTATGCAGTAAAAGTACTAAAAATTTACAAAGACAACCAATTTTAGATTTTCATTATGTTACCCAAGTTACAAGCTTTTTATGAAGTGTGTACTGCCTTAAATTATCGACCCGAGAAAAGTTCGGTCAATGCCGTCGCAGCAAATATTTTTCTAATAAAAAATATGGTAATTGACTGTAAGTACCGATTAAAAAAATATTAGTTACATGTGGTTGTTTTATTTATTAAAACAGGTTGCAACCGTACTATTTATTTATTTAAACCACTATTCTACCGATAGCAGACATAGTCGATTATTAACATTAGATTACGGCGTAATAATTAAAATATTTATGTGTACTTATTTTGACACAAAATTTCATAAATAATGAACAATATATCAAAATGGTATATAATAATAAATAATAAATTATATAATTATATAATAATAAATTAATAAGATAACATTAAAATGACACATCAAAAAAATTTCCATCCACTGAAGTCCATCCTAAGAAAACTTGTATTATGGAAGATCAAGATCGTTTAATCGCCGTACTCACAGTATTATAGTGCGAGCGAGTGAATAGATATGAAAGAAAGTATCGGTCGCGTAGCTCGCCGCCCTCGGTGCGTAAAATAGGTAATTTGCGAAACGCCGAAATGTAAGAGGGCTCTTAATAGAAATGATTTCTTATATTGACATAAAAACTACGCATTGAATGAAACGACATTTCGAGTACTTTGCAGCACTCATGGTTATGGGGGCGGGGGGGGGCTGAGATGTTCAATAGTACAAAATCACTTAAAAAATATTTTTATTTATTGGAAAGATCTACGCAGAAGGAATTTATCGTATTTTGAAGTCTTGTAAGTAGTATGCTTGGGTTAGGTTTTTATTTCATTAATAGGATCCCATGCACCCAGCTAACTTCTCTATTAAAATTAGGATTTTTTCAATAGCGTCGCGAATCGTCCTTGGTAGAAATCATAGTTTCTTTACGAAGATTTGTGATCTATCAAATCTACTATAATGGTGATGGCAACATCTTCCGAGACAAGTTATGTTTTTTAGGGCATCTGATATTGACCAGAGGGTGTAGTGAAAGCCGTATACCTTTTACTAGATGGATTAAGGCTTAATTGGTAAAAAGCTTGATTGACATCAAGGTGGGTAAAATACATTGCCCCTGATAAAGAATCTAATATAGCTGTAATATTTGGTAACGGAACTTATTATTAAATTTCAATCCCTTTACAGACATGTTTAATAAACATATCCCACGGTTCGTAATTTGCCTCCAACTCCGTTAAATGTGATCGGTTTCTTTTGTAATGATATGTTCAGCTTTTTAAGCGTGTCATATTTTATCTTACATAAAGAAGTCCCGGTATCTACAAGCCATCTACATTTGGTACTACCTATTACTAACTCAAGACAATTACTCTATTCGCAACCTAATATACTATTGGTCTCGAAAAAATTCTAAATTGTTTTCATTATTATGGAAATTAGGTTTAATATCAACATTTTGAGAACTTTGCGATACACCATTTTTTGGAGTCATAAAATGAATTCGCTGGGTATTATTACCACGTAAAGATCCGCGATTCTGGTATGAGTACTTACCTTAATCATCGTTTTTCCCGCGGTGCTGTTGATTTTCACGCGACAACTGTTGGGTTACCGGTTTCCTCCAGTTCACGTTATTTCTTGCTTGAGTAGGCAAAGGGTATGTTTGACGTAGTACATTATTGGATGTATACCTACCGCGTAAATTTTTACGCGTTCCTGAACCACCTCGATTCCGGAAATAAATCGATGGTTCAGTATACTCATTAGGTCGAATACGGGACGCCTCCTCATCCTTTGCTGCTTTAATTGTTTCTTTTAATGTACTATAATTACGTGCTGACAAAATAGTACTGAGTTGTCGATTTCGCAAGCCATTTGTAAAACTTTTAATAGCAATCTTTTCATTTACAGAACGTCAATTTTTATGCGCGTTTGGGTCGCCATCGGCTTGGAAAATCGTCAAATCTACGAATAATTATTCGATTTTATTGCCATATTTATCTATGGAACTACTATTTTGCCTTATTTGCATAAGTTCGTTATGAATGGAAGTGCAAGGTAAGATTTCTTTGTTAAAAGATGGTTCCGCATATCACTTATAAGCGCCTCGCATGAGTCATAGGAATCTAATAGGCGAATTTAGCGCTTTCTTTTAAACGAGTTTTTAAAACAAGTTTGAATAACATAGACTATATAATACCTACTTCTTTAAGCGAAAATCTATATAACTATCGAATCCATGAATGTTTTGGTGACCGATTCCTCGCCCGTCATCACTGGCAGGAGTGACACAGCAGTTTTAAAGTCGAAACTTTTCATGGTGGCTATTTCGCAATGAATAGTGCCCTCGAAAGTTGATTGAGAACTGTAATCTTTAGTACAAGTTTTATATTTGTATACATAAATCCTTAATTAAATTGCGATATGATTGTATTCCAACTAACGCTTTACTCTTTATTTCTAGCTCTTTATTTAAAATTATTGAACAATCATCAAATTCCTTACGTAATCGTATTGATTCACTAAGGTTTTGTTGTAAAATACTTTTAGTTCGCTTAGTATAACTAAATTTAGCCAATTTAAGTAAAACTAGTTTTACGGATTTTATCGCGTATATTGGGGAATAAATAACACGTCCAGTGATCTTGAATGTAGTTCTACTACTACTTAATGGATCTATCGTACATACACATGAGTTACACTGCACTAAATACTGGCCTTAAAATTGGCGGAAAACCGGATAGATTCGGTTAGATTGTGTAAGCTTATATGGTTGGCGCGTTGTTGGGCTTTTTTGGATATCAAGAGTGAGCGTGCACTCAGCCGCCCGAGTTACCTCGGGATATGGGCCGGAGTGGAAACCTGTGCTATTATTGGGATCGCTTTTTTTTGCAGTTTCATGCTGCAGCACAGGATTTTATTTTGTATTTTCTCAAATATATGATGTTAGTAAATATTGCGTTATATTTTAAAGATGTTAAAAATTATTTAGCTAACATCCGCGTAATAAAATAAAATGATGTGTCTTATCTAGTTTAAGAGCACCTGCCACCGTCCCTAGGGTGGAACTAGATAAGATAAATCATTTTATATTTTACGTGGATTTTAGATATTTAATTTTTAACATGTTTAATATAATGGATTTTCGCAACGTAACACCTGGTAACACCTAATTCTATTGATTATTATTACTTTCTGAAGTGAAAACTTTTTACAGTCGTTGTGATATTAAACTGTGATGTGATGAAACGAAAAAATGTCACTAAAAAGAGACAAACATATATATCATTAGCCTACGAGAAAATGAGATAATACGTACTTCAACTAATAATATAACAGTATACAGTGTTTCCTATCATCTCCGTCTCTTCTGTGTGGTGCTTTAAAGATGATTAATATAACTTTTAACTGTTAAAATAAACGGTTAAATAATAATTATTATATTAAATAAATAATATTAACCATGTTGAATAAAATTATCATATCCAATCCATTCATAACTATCCACGATTTCATAACTTCAAGCCATTTAGGCATATATTTTATGTACCACCTTGAGAGTAAATCTATTTTTATTCGGTAAAATGGTTTTACTTATAGAATGAAGTTGATAGTACGAGGGTAACACTGAAATTTCTTAGAAAATCAACAACTGAACAAACTAGCAAGTTATTAGTTTTATTATATCTTTTCAAAATAGTGTCCATTTATATCAATATATCGCTGCATCCGATGGAACCACTGAGAAAAGCACTTTGCCCACTCGTCCTTATGGGTCTCTTCGACGGCATTTTGAAACGCAGCCACTGCTTCTTCGGCGTCCATAAAACGTTTTCCTCGAAGTTTTTCTTTTATTTTCGGAAATAAATAAAAATCTCAAAGTGCGAGGGCGGGGCTATAGGGCGGGTGACCCAGTAATTCCACGTCTGACCTCGCCAAGTAGTCGATTGTTTGCTTGCCGGTGTGCGATGAGGCGTTGTCGTGGTGAAGGAGGATCCTACTGCAAAGTCGTTTCTCCCGAACTTTTTCCAAGACAAGTGGCAAACAATTGTTAGTGTACCACTCTGCAGTAACTGTTTTTCGATCCTCTAAAACAATTGTCACAGTATAAATATGAACAGTATGGAAACTAACCCTAGTGGAGGATATAATTACCTACGCTCCATTGAAGCAATAGGGTTGTAACTTTTAATGTTTGATATTGCTTTTTTTTATATTTTTGTTCTGTAGTGATCAATCAATCGAATTTAAATAACTAGCTTACAAATACAATTTAAATAGGTAATCTCAAAAAAAAACGATAGTTTAAACACGGAAAACATTTTAATATTAACACGCAACAACTTGTAGAACTTTAACTTTGTCATTACGCCGTAACCTTTTACAAGTTTCGGCGGGAACGTACGCGAGCCGCAGTTGGACGAAAATGTGCCTTTATTCTTCACTAGTTGTTCCCTGCGACTTCGCTCGCGTGCTAGGGTTTTTATTTTTTAGCGGGGAACCCTAATTCTTTTTCTAAAATAAAAGTAGTCTAAGTTACTCCTTATGACATCAGCTATCTGCCAGTGAAAGTGCCGTCAAAATTGATCCAGCCGTTTCGGAGATTAGCCGGAACAAACAGACGGACAGACAGACAAAAATTTAAAAAATTGTTATTTAGTTATAAGTACCGTATTTACTTTCATATGCATTTAGTAAAAAGCTGTTATTTTGACATTACAAACAGACACTTCAATTTTATTTATTTGTATAGATTATTATAAATTATTTACAGAAAAATATTTTCGTCTGCTACGGCAAGTTCGAAATTATTTATTATTGAATTTAACTGTGTAAAAAAATATCATTCTAATGAACAGGTTTTTTTTTAAATTAATCCCCGTACCTTGTACGAAGTACCCGTTCCTTGTTTCCCAACAGTTTTGTTGGGAAACAAGGAACGGGTACTATGAAACCGATTTTGTTTATTTTTTTGTAAATTAGATCAGCAACTTTGCAGTTTATCTGTTCTTTTTTAAAACAACAACGAAAAATCGGTTTCAACACCCTCAAAAACTATGAAAATGACACCCATGACAAAAAAATTGATACCTATTGCAGCCGCCATCTTGGATTTACATTTCAACAGCACTATCGGCTTCAACATACTCAAAAACTATGAAAATGACACCCATGACGAAAATATTGATACCTATTTCAGCCGCCATCTTGGATTTACATTTCAACAGCACTATCGGCTTCAACATACTCAAAAACTATGAAAATGACACCCATGACGAAAATATTGATACCTATTGCAGCCGCCATCTTGGATTTACATTTCAACAGCACTATCGGCTTCAACATACTCAAAAACTATGAAAATGACACCCATGACGAAAATATTGATACCTATTGCAGCCGCCATCTTGGATTTATATTTCGACAGCATTATCGGCTTCAACACCCTCGAAAACCATGAAAAACACAGCGATGTTTTTTTTTAGTGATCGATGCACTCATGACGAAAAAATTGATACCTATTGCAGCCGCCATCTTGAATTTACATTTCAACCAGCACTATCGGCTTCAACACACTCAAAAACTATGAAAATGACACCCATGACGAAAATATTGATACCTATTGCAGCCGCCATCTTGGATTTACATTTCAACAGCACTATCGGCTTCAACATACTCAAAAACTATGAAAATGACACCCATGACGAAAAAATTGATACCTATTGCAGCCGCCATCTTGGATTTATATTTCGACAGCACTATCGGCTTCAACACCATTGACATGAAAATGACCATGAAAATGACAGCGATGTTTTTTATTAGTGCTCGATGCACCCATGACGAAAAAATTGATACCTATTGCAGCCGCCATCTTGGATTTACATTTCAACAGCACTATCGGCTTCAACATACTCAAAAACTATGAAAATGACACCCATGACGAAAATATTGATACCTATTGCAGCCGCCATCTTGGATTTACATTTCAACAGCACTATCGGCTTCAACATACTCAAAAACTATGAAAATGACACCCATGACGAAAAAATTGATACCTATTGCAGCCGCCATCTTGGATTTATATTTCGACAGCACTATCGGCTTCAACACCATTGACATGAAAATGACCATGAAAATGACAGCGATGTTTTTTATTAGTGCTCGATGCACCCATGACGAAAAAATTGATACCTATTGCAGCCGCCATCTTGGATTTACATTTCAACAGCACTATCGGCTTCAACATACTCAAAAACTATGAAAATGACACCCATGACGAAAATATTGATACCTATTGCAGCCGCCATCTTGGATTTACATTTCAACAGCACTATCGGCTTCAACATACTCAAAAACTATGAAAATGACACCCATGACGAAAAAATTGATACTTATTGCAGCCGCCATCTTGGATTTATATTTCGACAGCACTATCGGCTCCAACATCCTCGAAACCCATGAAAATGGCACCCATGGCAAAAAAAAATGATACCTATTAGAAAAAATTGGTACCTATTGCAGCCGCCATCTTGGATTTACTTTTTGTTACCACTATTACACTATCAGCTTTAAATAGCCTCAAAACCGCCGCATTCTGGATTTACAAATAAGTTCACGAATTCATTATGATCGATCACACGGACTTATAGTTCGATAACGATTATAAAAATGTCAATAAAAATCATTCTTACCTTTCAAAATCAGCAGGAAGCTTAAAATAAGATAGCTCCGGTTTTGATGAAGCCGAGTTCAAACATTCGTATACTACGCAATACGTTCGAGGCATTTTTAGTCTTTAGGCAACACTCGCTACTGAGAGCACCGCGACGAGCGCTTAGAAGTCTCGTCGTTGCGCATGTTTGTGTGAGTGTGCCGTTTCGAGCGTTTGTAGGAAGTTTCCGTACTGTTCCTACTATATATTTACTGTGCAATTGTTGCGTAATGACCTGTCCTTCCGAAGAACTAGGCCCCATCTTTTTTCCTTCACTTTAGCTAGCAACTCTTCGGAAGGAAGTACCCAGACAGCAGGATGTCTTTTAGTTTCAGGATCATAACAATAAATCCAGCTTTCGTCACCCGTAAGTATGTCGAACACAGCATATGAGTCACCTCCGTTAAATCTTTGAACCATTTCACGACACCAATCAACACGACGGAGTTTTTGGGCCTCTGTCAAGTTATTAGGTACCCACCGGGCACAAAGCTTCCTGACTGCTAAATATTCATGGAGGATTTTGTACACTTGACTCATACCGATGCCTTATCTTATCCGAATCTGCTGATAAGTCACTTTTTTGTTAGTCTCTATCTCTATAGATCATACGTCGCACAACACTGATGTTATCTTCAGTCGTCGCCGTAGAAGGCCGTCCCTCACGCAGATCATCGGTGAGATTAGTGCGACCATATTTAAACGCTTTAAACCAGTTGTAGACAGTGTCACGAAATGGGGCTTCATAGTGAAAGGCCAATCGAAGTCTATCATAACTTTCTTGTTGACTTAAATGACATCGAAAGTCATAAAAAAGCATTGTACGAAAATTTTTTCGCGTTAAATTCATGCTGACGTGACACAAACAATTTCAATTTGCCGCCAAATCGTAAACAAATGACCAAATTAATCAAATACATACACAATAATAATGGCAAAGTTCAAAGTTCCATTTTCAAAATTTGAACTTATTTTTTTATTATATCGTTTACAAGTGGCCAGTTATAAAAATTTTCAGTGTCGCCCTCGTAGTAGGTTATGAAGTAGATTAAGGTTTCACTTCTACCGCGTGTGAACTACACACATGTTTTTTTATGCTTTGTATTGCAAGCTCAAAGAGTAATAAACGCTAATGTTTGTTTGTTTATTGTTCGCTTGCAGGTGGCGGTGTTCGGTCCGTTGTGGGAAGAGTGCGTGGTGCGCGTGCGGGCGGGCGCGGCGCTGGTGCGCGGCGCGGCGTTCGCGGGCGGGCGGGCGGTGCGCGCCACCATGCCGCTGTACCAGCACGCCTGCAGCGAGCGCGCGCGCGGCCTCGACGCGCTCGCTGCGCACCACACGCTCCCCGCCACCTTTGAGCACTTCGTGCAGCGCGTGCGCGACCCCGTGCCTCACGACCAGCCGCCCGCCTCAGGTACCTACCCACCGAACTGTTGCATGGTGCTGGTGCGCGCCACCGTGCCGCTGTACCAGCACGCTTCATTCACACCGCGCACACCGTCTAGTTGCGATGTAAGAATATCCACTACTCCAAATCATTCCGTAGGTGTTGTAAGAGGCGAGAGAAGGAAACAAACCAGGATAGGGGCAGCAGCGTCTTCCTATCAACGACAAAAAATAAAAAAACTCGCGGTTGCCAACCCGCTTGCCAAGTGTGGCAACTATGTCAAATAATAAAGTCCACTGCTGAACATAAGCCTCCCCAAAGATTGCTTCATAAGGGGCATCCTGCAATAGTTGCCATGCTTTTCAGGCGGATTGACAAACGCATTTAATAATTATTTTTAGTTGTTATCAGAACTATGCTAACCCATCTCCTCTTTCAATTTCCCTCTATCGCCTCTTATGACACCCACGGAACGATATGTGCTATTCTTCAATAAACGAGTGCTAAATGAGACTAAAATATCGGATATATAATTTCAAAGTTAAAATTGAGGTATCGAAAGGGCGGCTTTTTAGGTTTCCGTACTCGAAGAGTAACCAACGGTACCCTATTACCATATGTGTTAAGCCGGCGCCAGATATAGCAATAACATTTGAACACTTATTTAAAGGATTTGCACACTTGTTTGAACACTTATTGGCGCAACCTGTCAGACATGCTTTGCAAACACATATCTCCATAGTACGTTAATAAATGACAAACAAGATGGACAACGATTTTGTGGATGCAGTGTGCCTGTATTATTTAAGTGCATGTCATTATTTACTACATGTGCAAAAATAATACAATACAATAAAATATTTAAATACAAGATTATCTATTTCATTCATAAGTACTATATAGTCTGTCATCTTCATCCAAAAACTTTATCTTTTCAGATAACAGCTGACCATACAAATAACATTCATTCGATTCTTTTTTACAGTCTATATACTTGCACCTATTTTTAAAACGTACTGCGCACGACCGTCCCGATGGACAACGCTCGCGCGAATGAACTTTGCGCAAGTGTGGCAGGTTACGTAAACATTAGAATATCACTCGAAATGCTAAGGCCTGGAGAGGGTGTGGTTTCAGGCCTGCTGTGCACCTTGTTTAATTTATGTTGGGAACTGAAACGGGTACCGGAAGTCTGGTGCAAAGCCGTTATAGTCCCAATAATTAAGGGAAAGGGCTCGCAGCATGACTGTAAAAACTACCGTGGTATCAGCTTGCTTAGCATTGTGGGTAAACTGTATGCTAAGGTGTTAATTGAAAGAGTTATGGAAGAAACTGATGACAAAATTTGGGATGTGCAAGCTGGATTTAGAAAGGGGATGGGGTGTACGAATCAAGTCTTTTCCATGCGCATGATTGCGGAGAAGTTTTTGGCCAAAAACCAGAAAGTTTTTTGTGCGTTCATGAACTTGGAAAAGGCTTATGACAGAGTGGACAGGAATGTGTTATGGCAAACACTGAACTCATTTGGGTTGAGCGCTGGCTTGATACAGACATTAAGGTCTCTTTATAGGGACTCTAGTGCTTGTGTCAGGATCAACGGGGTCTACTCGGACTGGTTTGGCATTCATAAAGGTATCAGACAGGGATGTGTGGCTTCCCCGTGGCTGTTTAACCTATTTATGGACAGTTTTTTGCAAACTTTGAAAGTTGAATAATGTGGGTTGAGAATGGGTGAGTTAACCGTCAAATGCCTTGTGTACGCCGATGATCAAGTCATATTTGCATCGTCGGCGGCCGAGATGCAAATGATGGTTACTTTAATGAACTGGTCATTGAAAGAAAGGGGTATGAAAGTGAACGCAAGTAAGACGAAAGTGATGGTTTTTGAAAGAGAAGAAAGTAAAACGTTATGTGAAATAATAATAGAAGGGGAGTTGATTGAGCAAGTGGATGAGTTTGTATATTTGGGATGTTTATTTAGCAGGGATGGTAGATATAATAAGAACGACGAGTGAACGCAGGAAATAGAGTGAATGGGGCTCTACACGCTATTATGAGGAGTCAGAATGTGTCAAATAAGGCACGTACGGCAATTCATAATGCTGTGTTAGTCCCTACTTTAATGTATGGTAGTGAAAGTTGGGTCTGGTAGAAGAAGCATGAGAGTAAAATAAATGCTGTAGAAATGCGGTCATTACGTAGTATGCTAGGGCTGAATCTGAATGACATGGTGAGAAATAGTGTGATAAGAGAAAAGTGTGGTTTGCAAGATGACGTTGTGATAAGGATTAAGAAAGGAATGCTTCGGTGGTTTGGTCATGTGATTGGAAAGAATGAACGAGGAAAGAGTGACAAAGCAAATTTATGTTGCAGAAGTGAACGGCAGGGTCGGGAAGGGACGCCCTAGTCGAAGGTTTATCGACCAAATCGGCGATACATTAAAAATGGGCTAGATTAGGAGTACCCTTAACGAACGAGCGTGTATGCGTAGATACCAGGCGGTCCCATAATGAACTGGCCTGATATAGTTCAACGCGACATGTCGCTACATGTTGTGTTGCATTAAATAGTACGTTTATCGTGCACTTAATATAAGAAACATGCATCGACATGAAATGCTTAGTCTTAGTTTAACAGGCATTTGAATGACGAGAGTCGCGTATTTTTTCAAAATGTCGAAAACTGAGTATCGAAGTGTCATAAAGTTTCTGTTTAAAGAAGGTTTATCCCCTGCCCAAATAAAAGAACGATTGGATGGCGTGTATAAGGAGTCTGCCCCCTCCTATAGCACAGTGAAAAATTGGGTGAAAGAGTTTCGCCTCGGGAGAGAAACCGTCGAAGACTTTGGTCACGACGGTCGACCTGTGGAAGTGCTCACTCCTGAAACGATTGCTCTTATCGAAGAGGAGGTTCTGAGTGACCGCCGTTTGAAGATTAGAGAAATTGCAGCAAGGCTTGGGCTCTCTAAGAGTACCGTTCATCGCGCGATCCATGAACATCTTCACATGAAAAAAGTGAGTGCAAGATGGGTACCGAAACTTCTTTCAGCGGTACAGAGACAGGAAAGAGTGCGCTGCGCTTCGGAGTTTTTGGATCTTTGTGGCGAAAATCCAAAGACTGTGATCGAGCGGCTAGTGACTGGTGATGAAACTATGATCTTGTATTATGATCCACAAAGCAAGCGCGAGTCAATGGAATGGCGTTATAAGGGTGAAAAGCCCCCTAGAAAGGCAAAGGTGCAACAATCGACTAAAAAACTGATGTGCACAATATTTTGGGATTTTCAAGGCATTTTGATGGTGGATTTTAAAGAACGTAATACAGTCGTGAACGGCGAATATTATGCTTCTTTAATATATAAATTACGAGACAAGATAAAGGAAAAACGAAGAGGCAAGCTGTCTAAAGGTGTCCTGTTGCTCCATGACAACGCCCCTGTTCATACCGCTGGTGTTTCGAAGGATGCAGTTCGTCAATGCGGGTTCACAGAAGTTCAACATCCACCTTACAGTCCAGACATGGCCCCGTCCGACTATTATTTATTTCCAAATTTAAAGCGGGACTTAAGAGGAAGAAAATTTTCAAGCGATGAAGAGTTGCAGGCGGCCGTCTTCAGTCATTTTGAGGATAAAAAATGTGATTATTTTTATAAAGGTTTAGAGATGTTGATTCACAGATGTCAGAAGTGTGTTAGTATTCATGGTGATTATATTGAAAAATAAAATTGGTTTCGTTTCATTTCCTTCATTGGTTCATAGTTAGGCCAATTCATTATGGGACCGCCTACGTATATGGATGTAAAGTAGGCGAGAGAGGTGTGTCAGGATCGCGCCAAATGGAAGTCCGTAGTCTCTGCCTACCCCTCTGGATGGCAGGTGTGAGTGTTTGTGTTGAACACTGTCGACTTTTAACGCTTTGATGTGCGCTAAAAAACTGAAACCGCTTGGCAAAGTGCAATTCTTTGCGCACTTATATGAACATTGATTAAAAGTCCCGTGCTACACATAGCTTCAAACAAGTGTTCAAATGTTTAAAGCTGTATCTGGCGCCGGCTTAATAAATACTAATAGTGCGTCAACTCCTTTGTTATACCGCAAAATACCTACAAGACTGTCTCGACGAGTTGCTAAAAATATTCAAGGGTTGTCACAAAAACTTATATAATATCATCATCATCATCATCATTACAGCCTTTCACAAGTCCACTGCTGAACATAGGCCTCCCCCAAGGAATGCCACAAAGCACGGTCCTGAGCCACCTGCATCCATCGACTTCCTGCATGTCTCACCAGGTCGTCACTCCATCTAGTGGGGGGTCGCCCTACACTTCGCCTACCGGTACGAGGCTGCCACTCGAGAACCTTTCTTCCCCATCGGTTGTCGGTTCTTCGAGCTATATGGCCGGCCCACTGCCACTTCAGCTTACTAATCTGTTGGGCTATGTTGGTTACTCTGGTTCTACTGCGGATATCCTCATTTCTAAGTTTATCACGCAGAGAAACCCCGAGCATAGCCCTCTCCATAGCTCGCTGAGCGACCTTGAGTTTCCTCATACGGCCAGCAGTGAAGGACCACGTCTCAGATCCGTAAGTCATCACTGGCAACACGCACTGGTTGTACAATTTCGTTTTCAGGTTTTGAGGTATGTCTAACGAGAAGATGTGACGTAGTTTCCCCAACGCTGCCCAGCAGAGTTGAATCCGTCGATTGACCTCTCGGTCGAAGTTGGACTTACCTAGTCGGACTATTTGTCCCAGGTAAACATACTCGTCAACAACTTCGAGCTTAGTGCTCCCAACAACTACCGGCATAGGTGTGACATGGACGTTAAACATGATCTTTGGTTTGTCCATGTTCATCTCAAGACCTATCCGTTGGGAAACACTCTTGAGGTCATTGAGCATAGTGCTTAGGTCCTCCAGCGATTCTGCTATAAGGACTATATCGTCGGCAAATCGAAGGTGAGTGATGTACTCGCCATTGATGTTAATACCGTATCCTTTCCAGTCCAGTAGCTTGAAAACGTCTTCCAATGCAGGGGTGAAGAGTTTCGGGGATATAACGTCACCCTGTCTTACACCTCTTTGCAGTTGGATAGGTTTCGTACTCTTATTCTGTACTCGGATAGCCATCGTAGCTCTACTGTACAAACACTTCAGCACTTCGATATACCGACAGTCAACTTGGCACCTCTGAAGGGACTGCAGCACCGCCCAAATTTCGACGGAATCAAAGGCTTTCTCATAGTCCACATACGCAAGGCAAAGTGGCAGATTATACTCCTCTGTCCTCTGTACAATCTGCCGCAGGGTATGTATGTGGTCCATGGTACTAAGGCCTTTTCGGAAACCGGCTTGTTCGGGAGGCTGGAAGTCGTCAAGTACCTGCGTGCGAGACGATTCGTAATGACTCTCGAAAACAGTACGTAGACGCGGCTCAGAAAGGAAACCGGACCGGTACATAAGCGAAGCCAACCGGTGCTACCGCAGACGTCGCGAGCAGGGGGGGTGACTCCACCCTCCTTCATACCGTGTCCTCCCATCGTTGCTCCGTCTAGTCGCCGAGTTGACTCACTATTAGTATTTATACACATATGCTATTACTGAACCTTCGCTGTCCGTCAGTCTGTCAGCGGGCTGTATCTCATGATCCGTAATAGGTAGGTAGTTGAATTTTTCAGTGTGTATTTCTGTTGCCATTATAACAGCAAATAATAAAAATTTAAAATTAAAGGGGGCTCCCCTCTACTAGAAACATGTTTTTACCTACATAGTATTCAATCTTGTATGATGGTACGGAAAATTCATGCGCGAGTTCGACACTTCACGCACTTGTCCGATTTTATTAAACTAGTAATTTATTTCATGGACTTTTTATAAACACCATTTTTTTTAATTAACATTACATATCATTTTGGACTATAGTAAATGGGTGATAAATATTTGACTAGAAATTTATATAAACAATTTACTGCCCTTTTAAAACAAGTAATTTATGTCATGGACTTTGTATTATGACCAAAATTATTTATTTAACCCTTTCGCTGTTTTACTATTGTGTCTGAAATCGGACAGTTAGTGTTAATATGACGGTTTTTACTACTACATAAATTACGCTCATTCCGCTAATTTTACATACACAAATAAATTGGAAAAACAATCATCGATATATGTCACTACAGTAGTTCTTAAGGCCTTGTTAGCTCTGGTGGCGTAGTAGTCAGAATACGTGGCCACTACGCCGCCGCAGGCCCCGGATCTGTTATTTATTTTCTTATTAATTTGTTAGATCAAGGAAGCGGTCGTCTGGCCGCCGCTCTGCTTGACCACGGGGCGAATTCATGGACAACAGGCACCCAACACACAGTATCCCCACGGCCAGCCAAGCGGCTCGGACCATTCAAACGTCCTCAGCCATTGCAAAACGCGCCGCACACTGCACCACCAGACGCACCGGTACGACGTGTGCGTTAAAATACCCAACACTCACCCCACTCGAATACAACTGTTCTGCCACACCTAAACAAGCAGACTGTTAAACATGACGTGATTGTTTGCACCGAACCTGTAACTTGTGAACGGCAGTCCGAAGAAGAACGCGGTATCTGAGGAGGGATCTGACTTGTATATAATATTTGCTTATTTTATAGAAGTCCTTTTATGAGCGAGGTGTCGACTTTAACTGCACACAGGCAGTAAGTTTAGTGAAGTATGTTCGGATCCTCCTGGGACTTTTAATTAAGTCTTAGATGTCAGTTTTATTTACACTCTAATCTCAAAAGTATTGTTGACATACATTTCTACATACATAATAATATTGTTAGATATTAATGCCATTTCACAAATCAATTTTTCACTTGACGTCGACATATCAGTCAAAATGTTGCTTTTATAATAAAAAATATTCCCAATATTTCCTATTTGCCAAATATGTAGAATGGAATCTCATAACTAAAAAATAATGTATTGTGTCACCTAAAATTAAAATTAATTTTATATGAAGATAAATGTTATGTAATATTTAAGAACTTTACAATTCCGAAGTTTTCAGATTAACTTCAAAGAAACCTAAACTGCAGTATTCAACACAAAATATTTGATAATCCAATTAGTGTGTCATAACTGATTGTTTATGAATTATGTATATTTTATTTTGTACTTAATCGTATTTAGCATAAAATTGTATTTCGAATTAAATTAAACAAAAATTATTTGCACATCTCATCAACCTTAATTGAAAATGTTTAAAAGTTGAAAACAACAATCAGCCATTGAAGACAGAATTCAATATTTATTTAAACTATAAATAAAGAGCGAAGCGGTTGCAAATTTTTCGTTCTGTATTTTAATTACTATAATTTACTTTTATATACTAATATAGACCCTATGAAATTAAAGACTACGGACTCCATACATTAGTTTATCACTAATTATGTGCCGTATTTAAAAAAGATGTTTTTACTGTAAAGTTTAATTACAATTTGACTTCTAAAAGAAGTTACATAATGTGACTAAACACTGAATCGTCCAAGAAGAGATTTCTAGCACTTATGATGGACTTAAAACTGAATGTACTTAATAATTTATAATATAAGCTATTTAAATCAGTTGCATTTAACAAGAAATAGGTTGTAAGTTTGCTAAGTCCTTGTTGTTTTATGCCTATTGCCAAGACATTTTCAGTTTCAATTTCAGTTCATTTTAGTTTGTATAAACTCTTTCTACAATATGGAATAAATATTTTACTTAGTAAAAAATATTCCTTACATTTGAATAACACGAACTGTTTTAAGCAGCCTTCCCCCTGCAAATTTCTTTATTCATTAAGTAATTGGTCACTATAAGAAAAAATTAACAAGAGAAAAGGTTAATATTATGTACAGTATTTCCAGTTCGATTGTAAATTTTAATAACTATACAAACCAAAATTATCTATTTTATGGCTTTGACAGTAAAATTTTACGTTTTTTTAATGTATTCACTGTTAGTTAAGTTTGAGGGTCGCATTTCGAAACTTTTTCTTTACACTGTAATTACAACAAATATTAATAGGTTCTTAGCATATTATATTACTAAGGGCTGATTTTTAAATTATCAGAAAAAAAATTCTTACAAAAAATTGTAACCTCATTGAATATAAAAACAATTGAACTATTTTATTCGTACAACTTTTTTAATTTATGATCCTTGCTTCATTAGTACTTTTATTTTTTAATATTATGATTGAAAAATCAGCCCTCAGTAATATATTATTAATTTGCCCATTACATATTAATATTATTATTTTCTTTTTTCATTATACCGAATTAAGTCAGATTCCCAGTTGGATGTATCCAGGCACCCAAAAAACAGCAATTATGTTATAACAGTAAGCATATACAATACTATTTAAGTTGGAAAAACGTAGATAAATTACATATTTCATAAGTGAGAAATGTTTCGTTTCACTTGAAAAAGGTTCAGATTAAATTAACACATCACATGCTAAATAATAACAGAGTATTTAGTGGGTTGAGAAGATAATAGTTTTACAGATTCGGAAATCAGAACATCTGAGAAATACTTTAAATAGGACTTAATGAATTATCTTCAGTTTGTACAACTTAAATTACTTCCCCTGGACTGAATTTCTTAAAATAAACATATGTTATTCGTGAAGATATCCAAAACTTAAACAACCATAAAACAGATTATTTATACCATGAATATAATAATGCACTGATACTGTCTGTACATATGTAAAATAATTGTAGAGCTTTAACTGTTTAGGTATTTTTAATATTTATTTGTCTTGTCTCGAGATTGTTCTAATATGTTAGATCTTGTTATTACTTATTAAAAACAAATTTTAAGTGTCTTACATTTTTGGACATTATTACTATATTTAATTGTGCTCTTATCTCTTTTTATTTGAAGAAGGACTGTGTAACTTATTAACAGTTGTTCAGATGTACAGCTTACTTATGGTAAATGAAATGAACGCCTTCACCTTGGAGCATTTTCGTTCAGCAATTTACATAATTAATTGTTCCAGCCTCTACTGCTCACTTTCCTATGTATACAGATGAAAGTGAGTAGTGAGTGAAATTTAATAAATCTATTATTGTACTTGCACATTTGCAATCACATCTGTATTTCAATTCAACTTCATTTAGTTGTGTGGAGCCATTCAATGGAATTTAACTAATTATATCACGTTTATATTCACTTGTTTTTTCTTTCCAACGTTTTGAGTGCTTCCTAGCACCCAAGCACTATGTGATTAAAGTAAGCATTTAGTGAAATCAATAAAAATTAGTTTGTTTGTATTATAAGTATTTAAAAGAAATAATTATTAAAGTTACTCAGTTCTGATATTTATTGTTCACTATAGATGCATCAAATTAATACTAAAATACAATATCTATTGTTGATAGAATTAAATTACTGGTTTTTATATAGTGATATAGTATATATATATATATATATAGAAAACTAATATGATCAAAAATTTGCAATAAATTACCATTTTAGTGCTGATTATGTAAAAACATAACTTATCAACTCTACAGCAAAAACAATTATTGACCAATTTAAAAGACCCACTGAGCTTGTACTGATCCATTGAGTTAAAGGAACTACTGAATATATTGTTTTACCAAGGAAGTTTACAGAACGAGATATGATGCCCAACTTAATGAATGTTAATAAATTGCCCAAGCCTAAGAAATCAATACAGTTTACTTGTTTTGTTAAAAATTTAAGGCCTAACAATTATTATCAAAAATAATAGTGTTCAAAATGTAAAACAAAAATGTAATCATTTTCTTAATTTTATAACTGTATTTTTTCAATATTGAAAACATGCAAATTTACTAAGATGTTGAATTTTAAATAAATGTATGCAGCATCATAAGATAAAACTGAGCAAAATGTGGTGCTACTTATTTGGAAGTAAGCATGGAGTGAAGTCTGTGGGGTTACATCATTCCATGTTAAACTTTTATTATATTTTCATATAAAAAGTATGATAACTTCAATAATTTCAGTTATTGCAATGAAGTAGCCCATTTCACAGTATGCTTTGATCACTATATATCACTAATGCTTTGCTTGCAGTATTGATCTTTTTGATAATTTAGGACATGTTATATTTTAAATAACTAAAAAGAACTGTTTTAGACATCAACATTCCACAAGCTTATTGTATGACATTTTTAAAAGCTTTTCTATAACTTTACAGTCTTTTTGCATTCAATTTTACATGTTAACATTAAAACATTCCGTCGTAATGTTATTTCTCTTAAAAATTGGTACAATCTTTCACCTTCAATATTGCAGTTATTATTTATGAAAAGTATTTTTGTTTCCTTTTTTATTTTTAACAGTATTTTATAGGTTTTAAGACTGACAAGCCTATATATTGAAATCTAAGTATTAAAATCAATATTATAACTTTAAAATGTGGTGGTTATATTTATTTATTACAACTAATTTACAATATAAATGTATTATACATTTTTTGCCTCACTGTGTAAAAGGCTTAAAATTATTACTTGTTAGCTATAAGTAATATGGGAATATTAACCCACAGACATTAAGTAATGTAACCAAATTTTTAATATTAAAAACGAATAAAGTTTTGTTAAACTATACTTCTTTTATTAAACCTATTCACTTTATGTTTTTGGCAGTTTATACATACCACCCTGCAAAACTAATTGATGTGTTCTCACTTTAGTATCTAAAAACTGTCTTAACTCTTGAAGACTACATTCTGTACCGGGAGCTTGTGAAGCAAACATTTTTAACATTTGATGTATACGATCTAAAGGTAAAGAGTCCAAGTTTGTTAACATGCCAACAATATAAGACCAGAATACTTGCAGCTCACCCTCTCTTTGATCGTGAGCAGACGCCATAACACTCTCTGCTTCTTCATCTTCACAAATCATTTCTTGGACTTGGTTTGTTGAAACATTTGATTTGTTTGCATCACTGCCATCTACCAAAACAAAATAATCAGTGCTTTTTTCAGTAATAAGTCCCATTGATTGCCAATATGTAATTTTTCTTCTTAAAATAGTAACAGGAACTTTCATTACTTGATGCAGTTCATCTAAAGACCATTCAGGTTTATCTTGAAAATGCATAATTAATGTAGCATTAAAAGGTGAAACAGTTAACTCCAATTTCTTAACTCCAATTTCTATTTCAATGTTAACATTTCCTAGATGTGGTATCCAGCTTAAAGTTCTATTCCCTTTTAATGCTTCGAAAGATTTTGTGTAATTCTCCAAAAGCTGTTTAATTATTACTGGTAACTCAAGGCTTTCATCTTTAAAAGGTGGCCAAAACTGAGCTGATAATATCATTCCATTACATGTAATTTTATCATTAGAAGCTTCAAAGTTATTGTCTTGGTGAATTAGAGCATTTATTCTTTTGGAATCTGACACATCTTTCAACATAACTTCACAAAAGTGTAACTGTGACTCTCCAAATCTTAACTTTAACAACTCCAAATATCTTATTTCTTTTTCAGTATTAATTACACTTTGAGCTAACAACCTATCAGCAAGCAATGTTCGATACTCATTGACAAACAATTCCTTACTTCCATATACATTTACAAGCATAGATATAATGTCGCTTGCTTTCCTATCACCTGAATTTACTTTGGGATCAGCGTCTACCGGATCAGGGTTCCATTCATCCCATAAGTCTTCTTTATCATTTTCATCATCTCCTTCACCAGCAAACTTGGCTAACTCTTCTGCTAATTCACTGCCAGCACCATCTTCAGTTAAACTACTAACCACACTTCTTACTGTATCCTCTCTGTTCCTTAAATAATTACGAACAGGTTTAGTAACTGTTTCTAATATAACTCCTGAAGGATCTAGATGCCGCAAAGTCCTAATTGTGGAGACATAGGCTGTCAAAATTTCTGATGTATTTACACCAGGATGTAATAATCTTGTTTCTAATGCAGTCTGTAAATTCTTGCAAAGTGTAGGTCTCAAGTCTGTCTTGTCTAAACAAAGTTTTATATCATCAACAGCTGGTTGTGAGTCAGGATACTCAATAATAATATTGAAGAGTTGATCAATTCTAAGTTTTGTATAACTGTGATATAAATAGTAGCTTAGCTTTTGCTTAAATTTTGAAATGGCATTTTGAACATTTTTATCATCTGGTGGTGGTTTTGATGATCCAGCACAATATATTCTTGTCAACCATGACATTACTGTTGTATCAAGCCAATTTTCCAAAAACGCTATATGTGAAACATCAAAAGTGCCTGTACAAAGTTTTTGAATATGACTTTCTATTCTCATCTGGATGAAATTAGTTAACACTTGACCGGCTAATCTTTCTAATAATTGGAGCTCCATTAATTTGCGGTTTGTGTCGTGAAAAACTTTAACAATGTATGCACAATTGCAATCTGAATAATCATTCCAGCAGCCAGAGCACATCACATCATCTCCCATATCAGAATTTTCATATTCATTATCAAATACATTAAATGATACTTTATAAAAAAAATATATGATATATTGAAATTCAAGTGGTAATTGAGCAAGCAAAGTAGCCCTCAGAAGTTGTTTAAAACCAAGTAGAACGTCTTTCTCTCCAAAGATCGGCATGTTATCGCTGCAACTGTTGTTCAACAAAGTTAGCTTATGTAATATTCCAGAAAAATTTGTGACAGATTCATATAGGTCGCTAACAGCAGTTTTGAATAATTGAAACCCTTTAACCTCTACGTCAGATTTTATAAACTTTGACCAAAATGATGGTACTACGTGCTGGCGAAGATATTTTTCAATATGTATAAGTATCAAGTCTCTAATTCTTATTTGAATACCTAAGCTGACGATCATTTCTTGGATTTCCTCATACTCTTCATTGGTGCAATCGCTATATAGTGTGCCATTCAATATAGGAAAGGCATAATTTATTTTGTTCCAATATACCTCTAAATCCTCCTTTTTAGACATTATTTATACTTATTTTTACAAGGTTTAAACACAGGCTAAAAATAATTAATACTTTGATTACATACTCATAATCAAGGCGTAATTTTCTAAATATAACACAAATACTAAGAATAATTAAAATCACGTTTGTAATTGTTGATATAAAATATTGTTATAATGTATTTGTATTTTCAATTTCAAACAGCAAACTTTTTTTTATAACTGGCTTTAGGGCTCTGGGTACTAGCTCTTCTAAGCCTGAAGTAAAAATGTATAATTAATAATTATCCTTCATAATACACTGCTTCACAATATGTGGATGCGTAACATTGTGCAGCCCTTGGGAGATTTTGACGACAACTTGAGTCAGCAGACAGCTGACAGTTGACGATGGTATCTCAAGGCGCGTTAACAGACAGACACCTTATCTTGAGAATCACATCTCTATCAGAGCACTTGTTTCACAGTTTCAACTAATAGTTCACATGCGCAGACACTTAATACACAAAATCGTACCACTTTTACATATCAAAATCCACTTCAAACCATTATTTAAACAATAATATTGTTGCGCACCATTATTAATGTCTTGTACATGGCAACATTAGTTACCACTAGCGCCCTTTAGTATCGAGTAGCAGAACTAGGAGAGTGGAGAAGACCCTTCTAGAAATTTCGGGACCGATATGTACTCGAACATTCTAGATGTTTCTACAGTAGAAAGTTCTGGAAATTATCTGGGGCCCTATAAAAGGCCGGTATAGACCACAACCGAGTCGGTATTGAATTGGCGATATAAGCGAATACCTCAAACACAATTGTACTACTAAAGTGATCAGTACTACAATTGTGTTTTATTATTAATATGGTTTAAACTAAGATGTTTTTAAAAGTATAGATACGTTATACTCACTCTACTCGCATTCAGTCGGGCACGCTCCCGCGTCGCGGCTATACCTTCACTACAGCGCGTAAATCTTCTAGTTATTCGTGCCAAAATTGCCTTCCTGTGTTTTTAGGTGGTGCACAAATTACACGGCAACTGTTAGAGACAAGAAAAACGTCTCATTAATATTTTGAATTTAGATGTTTTGTTCATAATTGGTTTTATTATTTCAACACTAACCGCTAGTGTAAACTTTGACGCTACCTAGTGTGTTCATTTTCCATATCGGTATGTCACTAGATGTGGGCGTTATTTCACGTCACTAGTTACAATAACTGGCTACACGGCATGTAACCGAATCACTAGTTTCGAGTCACATTACAAGTAGTGATTTTTGTAAATGCGTTATTACTGTTAACTGTGATTGTTGCGAGAGTCGACTCTCGGTCGGTCAAGCGCAAAGCGCACATGTGGCATACAACAATAAACAAAACAGCGTACGTAACAGTATTATTGTACGTTTAATTTTCATACGTAAGACTATAGATATAGACAATATAAATAGAGCGATCTTTGTTTGTAAATGATTTCAACGGTTTGCAATTCCGGGAAGCGATAGTCACATTGAATTTAAGTAAAATAATTTAGTTTGTTTTAGTTCATCGTTATACTTGTTTATAATTTTGAATACTATCTTGTAAAAATTTACATTTATATGTTATTTTGGTGTTTTATGTACATTTACTGTAACGTTTCATTGTTATTATATTATATAAATATAATTAGTGTGGATTGTACAAGTTTAAATAAACTGTGAATATCAATAATCATTGTATATACAATCAAATTGACTTGTAAATACCCCTGCATTAATAATTTTATGAAAATCTTAGTTTCATAGTAAATACAAAACAATCATAAATACCTTTAATGCAGTCAGTTCTAAGTCTGAATAAAGTATGAAGGGAAGTTAATTTATTGATTTAACTGTATAGCTAGAAACACTTAGAAGGTCATTAAATTTATTTTCGTTTCGTGTGTAACTGTATAGTTCTTGGTGGTGTTAATGCAAACAATCACAGTAGCCAAATAAAAATAGCCAGTTACAAAAATCACTAGTTTTGAAACAGGTGACGCAGACCAAGTCACTGGTTTCGTTACGTTTCTTGAAAATGACGTAACGACCCACGTCTATATGTCACGCGCTCACGCAAATTAGCGTTCGGCAGCAATCAATACGCAACTAATGATGTATATTCGTCTTTTTCTAACGATAGGTATGCCCTATCATTTGTTTCTTTTTGTTAGCGCAACGTGTCATAATAAATAACTGTACGTAGATATAGTACTACCTGCGTCACTTTAAAATACAATAATGTTAGTGTATAACCTATCTTTTTTAATACATCTTTGGGTTTAAGTTGTAATTAGTGCTCTGTAATTAAAGTGTCAATTTTGGTAATTCACTCGGCAGTTTTTAATTGTCTCGAACCCCAAGCTCGTAGCAATATACAAGAACAGTATACAAGACTAATATATAATACTGGAGAGGGTACTGTTCCATAGGCAGCAGGCCTCTGTCACTCTTGCTACCTGCGTGAAATAATCACCTACAATCGCGAGCTGGTGCACCAGGGGTAGATCGCAGTCGAGGCTAGCGCGCTCTATACTATTGAATGTTAAAGTTGTTTAAACGCTGTTTACGTAAATAATTTTTTGTAAATACTTGTTGAAATGCTCGTCGAAATAGTTTTTTTTTTAGTGTTTAATATATTTAATTGTGGCATAAAATAATTGAAAAAGTTTTAATGTAATTTAAGATTTATATATACGTATATTACCTATCTATTTGATAAATTACATTGGCAAAACGTCGTTCCTACTATAATTGTTGCGGGAATGGCTGCTTAATGAGCAATTAAATGGATTCAGATATATCATTTTTTGAGTTACTGAAGGATAATGAAAGGTAAATTTATATCATTTTTGTTAAATAGGTACTTATAGATAAAAAATAATTAAGTAATAATTTACAAAAAAAAAAATATTACAACACTTAGTTGAAATTTACTTCACTACCCAAGTACCTACATACATATTTTAATGGTACAAAAATGCAGAAGTAATATAATTTAAGCATGTCGTTAAACAAAATTAATTTGCTCAAATACAATAAGCACATCGTGTAATTTTTAATTTTAACAAACTTCGAAAAAGGGGGAGGTACTCAATTCAGTGTATTTCTTTTTTACCTCAGGATTCTATAATTTCTAAACCAATTTAGATTTTTTATTTAAAAGGATATACACACAGATTGATCCCGAAGTCAAATCATTTTGTCTTGATAGCGCAATAGATTCATTAAAATAAAAATTATTAGGATGTAAAAATGGCAGATTTACAGTCGAGAAAAACAAAACTCGAACGCGATCTCAAACCAATAGCAATATCTCGCAAGTAGGTCGGGCGTGCAGGCTAGCTTATGCCGTATTAATATAATTAAGTCTGAAAAAAATGATTCGCTGGACGTAACCCAGTGTTACGTCCATTGCACGCGCTACCGCGTGCCTACACAGTGAAGGGCCACTAATAAATGTTCCGAGCATGAACTCTCAAGCGTAGTGATACGACATAAACTAGTTTGGACGCCCGACTAGCTCGTGAAGTATTACTATTGTAAATCTGCCTTTTTTGAATTGTAATATTTTTTTTATTTTAATAAATTGACTCTACTATCAAGTTAATATAATTTGGCTCCGGGAAAACAACCACTAAAATTTCAGCGTGTGTATACGAATTGATCTAGAATCGTCTTAGAAATCAATGTACATGCATAATTGATAACTTTTCCTTTTTGGGAGTCGGTTAAAAATAGACTATGTTTGGGTGTAAAGTGACATCTGGTTAATGTTTGGGTATAAAATGACATCTGGTTGGTAAAGGCGTTCTTATTAATAATCTCTTGATGTTGTAAATAAAAAAGTTTTTATTCTATTCTCTAAAACGTCGACATAGTCAATAAACAAAGCAATTAATATAAAATACCTAGTTGCGTTAAAATGGCGTCGACCGATCGCGATCAGCTGATTACTACGTATTTTAAACACAAAAAGGAAATAAATAGTTTTAAAAGAAAATTGTGATATTTTCACCCTACAACTAGCAACATTTGTGTTATGATAGCTTAGGTAAGAATGTTTTTAGTTTTACGTATTTATAATGAATTATATATATGAACTTACCATGTGAAATGTAATACCATCACTTTTTTATTTTTATCATCACTGTTGTGATAATATTTTTTTTGCGATCAGAATAATGTCTATCATTTAAACTAAAATTTAATGGTTATATATTTTTTGCTACTCATGCCATTGATTTATATGTTACACTAGGTAAGTAATTGCCGCGCCAAAGCGTTGCCACTTCACATATGGCCACAGCCATATGCCCAGCTAACGTCGGTTCAGTGTTCAATGCGACGTCGACCGAGTTGAGCCGAACGATTCACGATAAAAAAAGGGTAAATGCGTAGTGAAAGAATGCGATTCAAGGTCACAAAACATAATTAATCAAGCGGAACCACTTTCCACACGTAAGTTTTAGTTTATGTTTTCGTATTAACGTAATAAACAAAAAAAATTAAATAAAATATCGAATATTGCAATTTAGGTTCAATGTTGCCACTCTTCTGCCTTTGCAATTTCCCAGCTTACGCTACTACGACTATATACTTAACTTATGAAATAAGTTAACTTGCTAGCCCTGATTTTAAATATTTGGAAATTGTAATAAAAACTATGTTTCAACCTTTATACAAAGGAATTAATTATTCTTATTTTAGAATATTCTAGAGATGTATAGATCTATTTATTATACTTTATTACCTATTTTATATTTGTAATTTTGCAGGGTACCTAAAGATGCAGCACACCGTAAGAAATGGGTGGAAATAATACGATTGCTGAGAAAGGAGACTCACTGGGTGCCTTCGAAATCTACTCTCATTAGTTCTCGAAATCTAATCTCAGTAGTAGTAAGCACTTCCGGGATCAAGACAAACTAGGACCAAAAAGCTATGGTGACCGTGTTTATTTAAGGGGATAAGTACGACAAATTAACACCATTTAGTATT